ATATCGGGACACATTAGTTACACACTTCACACCCAGCGATTTTCACTCACCACGAGCCACGGCGCGACGCAGCTGGGAATAACTTCGTCGGCGGCACGGAACGGACACCGAATTAGCGGCCGTGGCCTGAACCGTCGGGCACCTGGGACAAAAAAATGTCTCTCATGTTAAATGAATGCAAGATTGTTTTGCATGAATCATACAGATCAAACGTCCAGCGTCAGTTTAATTCATCCATTGAGATCCGGTGAGATCAGCCCATTGATATCCGGCGAGATCAGCCCATTGAGATCCGGTCTTAGACCAGCTGAGCCGAAATAATTGTAGTTATTGGTGACAAAAAGTTTTCAGAATTCATACGTGAATAACTTTTTTTGAATGTAATCGTTGCATTCAAACCTGGCCCAGGTAGTCAACTCCTGACTTAAAAAATCGTCGAAAATCAAAATGGTCGTTGGATTGTTGAAGTGGGATTCAGCGGGGACTCCCAGTGACGTCACTGTGAGTAGAAGCAGCACCACGGATTTTGGGTTCGGGGGGGGGGGGGGCAGGAGTTTCTAGAGGCTTCCTGAACAAAATAAGACGCATTCACAGGGAGGTCTTCTGGGCGGTGTCATATTTAAGGGGGCTGGGCACTCAGTGCACACGCCCACTTATCATATTTTTACGTGCATCAGTCATGTCCAAGTGTATCAGTGTCGACAATTACAAAATTTAAAAATTCAGGCAATCTGATTGTTTATTCAAGTCCATCGCGATCTGGAAATACGGCCGCCTGCTCAGAAAGAGGCCTCCTGAAACATAGAACGGGAGTGTTCGGATTCACGAAATTTCCTCCAAATCTGAGGTGCACATTTACTAAATAGAGAAATTTTGTTGTCAAGGGCGGTCTTTTTCGCTTCAAAGTTTACCAGTAGTTAGAAGTGAGCTTATTTAATCATATATGATGCATGCCACAACATCTTCAAATGCTGGACAATTCCTTTGAAGGGGGTTTTAGAGTAACACTTGTATAAGTATCGTCAGGGGTATTCCGGTTGTCTGAACAGCGTTACGTTGTCCATGACTCCACTGTGACCCTTGTGCGGCGTTACAAGACTCCCTCATGAGATTTCTGGTGTCATGAAGCATCCCAATAGGTGTGTTGTCAAGGGTCAAAAAGTGACTCTCTAAAAACTTCAGGCTTAGAGCGCTTGCGCAACCCTTTTTCAGAGTTAACGCCCATTGAGGAAAAACTGACAAACGGTTCCCTAAGCATATTGTTTCAGAAATTATTGTGGCGCCTTAAAGGCGTCATGATAGTCGTCATGACGCCTTAAAGGCGTCATGAGGGTTTACTTTCTGGAAAGCTCCTCGGGGAGTAACTTTTTCTCCGTGTAGGCAGCGGCCTGGAAGGTTGTCCGTTTTCACGCCCGTCAGTTGTTCAAACGCAATTAGTGTGTTCACCGATGTTAGGAAAAACAGGAATAATGACATGGAAATGTCGAATGTATCTGCTTCAGTGTTTTTTGTGTTACTGAAATATGTTTCTGGATTGCAACACGGTTGTTGTCCATCTCCTTACGTATACGCACTCAACAGCGAACTTAATTTCCACGGTTGGACTGTGTTGCATCACAAAAAGACGCGGCTGCACTGAGCTAGTTTTTCTGTGCACGGTACATGTGCGAACTTATCTCGATTGGTGCAAAATTTATCATTAATTTCGCAAATCATCGCTTGCATCCTTCGCCCACGGCTCCGCGCCATCGTCGGCACTAAACAAATGGCCGTGGCTAATGCGTACGTAATTACAAATGCTTCCAGTCGATTTTATGGGGGGGTTTACATCTGAGAGATATAGATGAGAGAGGGCTGAGAATGCCATGGTGCACCAAGCTAGTTATTTTTCTCATATTTTGTCCAGTTTTCACGTGTTGCCCCCTCTGAAAAGAGAGGTGCGCTTTTCTGTCCGTCGATGCCACCTCGAGGACCTGCGGGCTCAAGAGCGGCCGCAAGGATGGGACCAGCTTTATGCTTTGGATTTTGAGGTTCACAAAATCGCAACCGCTTTGGGCCGATGGGATTGTTCCTGTCAGGCAGGTGGAGAAATCTTATTTTCAGAATAAGCAGCAGCCCAATAATAACAGGCTAAGCAGGTGATGGCGTGGAAGACCAACTGCCGTGCAAATGCGCCGGGCATTGGTCGCAGTATTCCATTTCCTACGATAACATTCTCGCTGAAAGGTGTTTATTATGTTTTGCACGTGGTGAGATGGCTTTACTCGTAAATACTCAAAGAAATTATTGCTCTGGTTTGCCAATAGACAGCGCGGCTGGTTGGTGCCGTTAAGGCAGTCACACTGCGCTCAATATTGCAATTTTGTTTTTCTCTTAGTGAAGGTGATGCAGCAGGTGATGGCGTGGAAGACCAACTGCCGTGCAAATGCGCCGGGCATTGGTCGCAGTATTCCATTTCCTACAATAACATTCTTGCTGAAAGGTGTTTATTATGTTTTGCACGTGGTGAGATGGCTTTACTCGTAAATACTCAAAGAAATTATTGCTCTGGTTTGCCAATAGACAGCGCGGCTGGTTGGTGCCGTTAAGGCAGTCACACTGTGCTCAATATTGCAATTTTGTTTTTCTCTTAGTGAAGGTAACAAAGGTATTCGGTTCTAGAAAACAGTGGCCGAAATTCGAAGAGTTTTTAGTGTTGAGATAAGCTAGGTTTGTTTTGTCCACTCATGTCCAGTCATCGAGCGTGTCTGCCCCTCCCCTCCTCCTGGGAAAAAATTGTAGCACATCCTCAGCACCAGAGGTAATAATTTAACGTAATGAAAACCTTTCTCATGACACAAATGGTGGGTTAAATGCATGCGGCCCAGCAAAGTATGAGACTATCAAGATCTGTCCCTAAATGCGAAGCTCAAAGTTGGGGACCGCGAAAGCCCGCAGGATTTTCATCTGACTTTCCATGTTGGTATTCGTAGTTGTCTTGGTAAAAATTACCATTTACTCTTTTTACCGGTGCTGATGACCTTTGGATGCTAGTCTTTAATGCAGTGCACGATATCGGAACTAGCGCTCTATATCGAGGGCATCGTGCACTGCATCGAAAGCCCTCCTACGCAGCACATTTCTTCGAAGACTGGCGAACCGCATCGAAAACTCGCCTCTGCAGAGGAAAACCTTCATTTTCATTGCGTAGCATTCTCGCTTTGGGAACTCTTTTAGTCGAACTGATAAGTTTGTGATGTGTTGTGATTTAATTAATCCTCATCTGATTGCATCGTCTCCTGTCGGCATTCGGCATTTGGTTAGATATAGAATTCGTATCCATCGATAGAGAGTACTGCGCCCTGGATGCATAGGACCAAAATCGGGATGATCCTGCACTTAACTGCCATTAAGACTCGACTGCCAAACACAGGTTGCTGCCTATGTCAAATTGATTTGCCAAATCAGGCATACAATTTGACTGGTTTCCGTCATACACGTATCTCACGCATGGGACATTTTCGCTGATTTCAATAGCTGGTGTGTTTTTTACCTATGTAACTTGTGTCTGTCATGCGGTTCAGCACGACGTTTAAATATGAGGATGACTTCTGGGACCTGAGGTCATATATTTTCACTCAGTGCCCTTGCATACGTACCGGTGAATAATCAGCAGCACTTGGGCGTTCAACTATTCCCATTATACTGCAAGTTCTACCTAATATATACCTATATGGCTGCAATATCTCTATGTCAAAGGTGCTAGTCTTTAGTTATGATCTTCGAGTCATTTTGATGGCCATCTTAGTACTTCTTTTCAACACATGCAATAAGAAGTATAAAATTGTCTTGCCCACAAGAGGCCAGCATGCTTAGCCTTCTTTCGGACAGAAAGTTTGAAAATATTAGCCCGTCAAATAAGTCAGGCCGATAGGTAGTAACTGCATTCCAAAAGACAGAAAGGGATCTTAGGACCGGATCTCCGTATCTTAGATATTCTGGTATCCAGGACCTGTGTTGACATTTTCCTGACGGATCTTCTGGAATCTGGAATTAGATTATAGATACCACTGATGGGTCTTCAAGGATCATGCATCATTTGAAATTGTATCACAAGATCAGTCGTGACCTAGAAACGTTTCCCTAACTGTGTTGGATGGAATGTCCCACTTTTGAAGATAACGAAGCAATCATCAGGTATGATGAAATAAGCTCACTTATAACTTTTGCAATGCTTTTAAGTGGAAAATGCTGTTCTAAGCGGTATGATTTCTCTGTTAGGTAAATATACTCCTCAATGCGTATTTGTTCGATTACGCTATCGTACCGCGCATAACCTTGGTCTGGAAATTGCGTTCACGAACGCCAGATGTGAACGACTCCACGATGGTATTTTTATCGGGCCTTGGTAACTGCATGAATAATACAATGGAAGATTTGAATGGCGTTAATATTTTGTTATGGGTGCCTGGGTGATCTTGAAATAGTCGCCTGAAATAGTCTGCACATCTTCGCGGGCGTATACCTCTAGAACTAGAAGGTTTAGGCCTTAAAAAGGCAGGGTTGCGAATTGCTCCGAATAGCCGTCAGGATGGCTATTTCAGTTCAAACGTCATGCAAAAGCGGAACACTCTCTTTAAAGAATACCCTGAGATTCGGAATATTTTCCATAATTTCTTCGAAGGATCCTTCGGAGTATGAGGCCTTGCCTTATGGTCCTGGCCTTCTGGTTTTCACGTGATCCATAGTGGTGTCCGGAGGCAGACGTGTGCACACCGTTAGATCCCATGACTGACGGCGATCCGTGTCCGGAGGCAGAGACGTGTGCACACCGCTAGATCCCATGACTGACGGCGATTCGTGTCCGGAGACAGGCGTGTGCACACCGCTAGATCCCATGACTGACGGCGATCCGTGTCCCGCAGCGTCGCCCTCGTTCCGTGAGCCGTCACGTGACGTGCGGGTGCGGGAGGGCCAGAACGTGACGCTGCTGTGCGACCCCGCGGGAGACGGGCCCGTAACGCTGCGCTGGCTGCGGGACGACCGACCGCTGGAGGATAGCGTCAGGTGCGTTAGGGCTCATCTGAGCTTGGGTTGCGTGGCTGGCGGTGCTGCATGGTCATCTCGCGTCCTTACACGTACGAGAAACAGACGTGATGCTTCGCCGACCTAGAGAGCTTGGATAGCAGCCATTGATCTCGCGAGTGGTGGGGGCAAGCTGATGCTTTGGGGAGTGGCGCAAACTGATATTTTGGGACTGACACGTTTGCAGCAATCTGATCGGCACCGTTATCACGCTGAGGAGAGGGCACGTAACGCGCATGGTCATTGTTCTCTCGCTCCCTCCCAGTTGACGACACCCCTGTTCTTGGTAGATCGGTTCATTTCGTGCTGCCTACATCGTTTCACGTGACCAGCGCTGCAGGCCTTAATGGAAGATGCTCGCTGATGACGCTCTTCGGTGGTAAAAGATGTCCGTTCCGTCAGATTGTGAGGGTGGAATCAGTTTGGATGTAGCCAGTTCCCCGTCGAATGGATGGTCCGTTTCAGCTCATCCGCCAGGCACTCCGGGTAAATCTGATCATTAACAAGCTTCGCGGAAGCCGATCAACCAACGACAAAGGATAACGTTGTTGCTTTCTTTTGCTGACGTTTTCACTGTCATGCATTATTGCTCACTTCCTTTGCGTGATTTCGACAGGAGCTCATGAATGAGGCTCGTGTTGAGGCTAGCTAGTGGCAGCACTTTTCCTCATTTAGCTGTTTCTGGATGCTCCCACGCCATGTTTCAGCCCACTGGGCGCCGTGCTGCTCATGACCAAAATCTCCCAGTCGGTTAACTTCAGTTAAAAGTTTGCTGGAGGAATTCCTTCCGAAGAGATAAGAAAAGCTTGCATTGCAACGGCAGATGTGTCGTGTGCGGATTGACGCGATTGATGAGATGTGATTGTGCGGATGATGTGCGGATTTTCTCGGAGTTGCCTGATGCCTCCAAGCGGAAAAATGTGCCAATGCGCGTGCACTGTGGACCCCACCTCAAGAGACGACGCGAGATCTGTTCGGCAGGCTCCTGGTCCGTCATTGGACCAGTGCCGAAAACGTTTCCCGGTCTAGTCTACGGCTTCTGGAAGCGGTGCCACCGGACTCCGGCCTTTTCGGTTGCCAGGCGACCAATGCGCGCGGCAGTGCACGGCTTACCATCCGTCTGGAGATCGAAGGTAAGCGGGCTAGCTGTAGCTCCTGCACTCTCTATTCGCTGGTTGCGGCGTGGCCCCACTCGATTGCACGGCACTAGCAAACACCAACGGTGCCTGTGACGAATTATGCTACCTATCCACTGCGTGATTAGCCCGCTTATGATGTGATTACGTTGCGGAGTTTGGAGTGCTCCGCTCTATTATTTCATTAGGAGTTGGGTTATTGATCTGTCATTCTATACCTTTGCATCATCGACAATAGGCGTATGAGTCTCTTCTCAAGGTAAATATAAACACGTATAACATGTAGTTTTGGAAACGGACCCGATTCTTAGTTGCAGGCGTACAAATTTGTAGATGTAGGAAGAGTTGCATCTTTTCTATTTGTGTTTTCAATTTTGGTTCTCCATCTCATCAACCCTAGGGCCTGCAAGCGAATTTCTTGCGAAAGGCCCGGTTCTTCATAGCGGAGCTCCGCCAACTGATGTAACATGTGGCGTCACGGGGGAAGTGCGTCATACGCGGATTTGAAGAACGCGTAAGTCCAAATATGAGGAGGAAGCAAAACTGCCCGATTCAGCCCTTGCAGACATGTAGTACGCAGCAATGGCACCTGGATATCATCGATTGCAGGCAGTATGTACAAGTCATGTGGTCAAAAACACCATCGTCGATGCAGCCATTCACGTTTAGTCGAGGGCTGCTTACTTGTCGCCCGCCATAAACGGCCGTCAACAACGGGTTGCTAGGCATTGCTATGCATACAACCGCCAGTTATCGCACTTCGCGTTCAGGTGAAATAAGAGATGGGTTTGATAGTGACGCCACGGGTTATTTAGGGAGCTACGTCATGTGATCGGTGGATTGGTCTCACCAGACAAGTAGTGGATGGGCTTCGTTTACCAATGAAGAACGGATCCCGGACCTCTTCTGTTGTCCACGGACTCACGGTTGCCACCATGTCCACCACAAGTGTTGCCTTGACTTGGCCTGGTCTTCTCCCCACAGCTACCTTTACCGCTCAGTCGACCGTGTGTTGACCTGACGTGACCGCCCAGACACCGCCACCGCCCAGCCGACCACATTTGCGCCCTGACCTTGCCTGACCTGGCACTACGCTCACGATCACATCACTGCTAGCCAGTCAACTGTAGGTTACGGCCCGGCCTGACCTGACCTGTCCAAAGAACCACCACCGCCGCCCACTGATCTGTAGGTCCTGTACTGACCTGACCTGACGTGTCCACAGAGGCACCACTATCGCTCGGTTGGCCTTGGTCGTGGTAGAATCTTATCTGATCTGACCCGACCTGAACTGATGTGCTGTCCGCAGAAACGCCGCTACCGCCCAGTGGACTGCAGGTGGTGGAGGTCCACAGCCGTTCCGTCACGGTGGAGTGGAATCCCCCAGCCAAAGTCAGCCGACACTTGTCCGGATACCGGCTGGAGTACAAGGAGCTAACTGGTGGGCACCCCGCTCTCTCGCACCATTTCATACTCACCTCAGCCGCAGCCACAGAAGTTCGTAGGAACAAGTACCTCGCGCCCGACGGAAAGAACCCGTAAATGTCACATGAGTGTCTCCCAAAGTGTTGCTCGAACGCCGCTGCTGATCTCTGACGTTTCGCGCCATGCAGCCGCGCCGCGTGTGACACACACACGTGATGCCGTCCATCCGGAGCCGCCCTGTGGAGCTCGCGCCGTCGCCTCCACGGGCCACCCTCCACGGGTCAGCCCGGGCCACCGTCTCAGGTCACGTCGCTGCGCCATTCATTCCGCTTGGTGCCCAATATCTCGTGGGATTTGTGCGGGCTGAGCCATCTGGCGCCGCACGGTCAGCCGTCTGGGTGACGTCCCTGTGTGCCGCCGGCGGCCGGAGACACGACCTGGCGCAGGGCAGACCGTCTGGGTGACGTCCCAGTGCGCCTCCGGCGGCCGGAGACACGACCTGGCCGAGGGCAGACCGTCTGGGTGACATCCCGGTACGCCGCCGGCGGCCGGAGACACGACCTGGCCGAGGGCAGACCGTCTGGGTGACGTCCCAGTGCGCCTCCGGCGGCCGGAGACGCGACCTGGCCGAGGGCGGACCGTCTGGGCGACGTCCCGGTGCGCCGCCGGCGGCCGGAGACACGACCTGGCCGAGGGCAGACCGTCTGGGTGACGTCCCGGTGCGTCGCCGTCGGCCGGAGACGCGACCTGGCCGAGGGCAGACGTGGCCTGACTGGACCCAGCCCCGAGGCGCTGGGGTTGGAGACTGACCTGAGCGGACGGACGGAAGGGCTGGGCCACCTGGTCGTTAGTGGCGTGCTCGGGTGAGGTGCATGATAGCAGACTCTGGGCCGCTGTGTGTTGTGACTGGGCCCGTTGATCTGTCAGGTGGGCGACTGGAAGACCTGACGTCACAGGATCTGTTTTGACCTACCGTCACTACCGTCAGTGGCCTGGGAGACCGGACGCACATGATCAGCTCCGATCTGATGCCATGTCCGGCAGACGCCTGAGGAGCCTGACTGAACCTGACGCCGCGCCGCTGCCGACAGAGGCAGACCTAACGAACCAGACCTGACCTGATGTGACCCGACGTCCCCTTGCTCAGCAGAGGGTTGGGCGTCGGTGGCGTCGGCGGCGCTGACGTCGCGGCGTCACCAGCTGGCCGGGCTGCGGCCCGACACGCCCTACGTGCTCCGGGCGCTGGCCGTGACCTCGCTGGGGGCGGGGCCGCCCGGCCGCGTGGTGCAGGTGCGCACCGACCAGGCGGCGCCATCCCTGCCGCCGACCGGGCTCAGCCTGGTGCCTCTGACCGCGACCCAGGTCAAGGTCACCTGGCGGCCGCCGCCGGTCCAGGCCCACCACGGCCGACTGGTGGGCTACCGGGTCACCTACCGCAGGTCAGTGCCGGTGACGATGTCGGGGCCTCGTATCCGGCAGCAGTTAGTGGTCACGACAGTGAGCATACTGGGGTCACAGACAAAACATTGGATGGGTTAACGCCATCTATCGCAGGCCAGTGGTTCCGGAAGTGAGGATGTTGCGTTGGTGAGAGCAGTGGGGGCATCGGCCTGTATGCGTCAGCTAACAATAAAAAGCATGGGCGATAATTTTTTAAGCCGTTGCGCAAAAACAGGTAACCGGCAGTGTCCTTACCACTGTCCCAGGGACGCAATAAACCGACATCAGTACTGGAATACATGAAATGATGTTGCGGTACTCCAAGCTGAGAAATGAAAGCAACTAAAAGAAGCAAACGAAGAGGTGACGTAGAGACGGCAGGATCAGTGTTGTGCAGTAGGCATGTGGTATAAGTCGGGCAATGGCGGCGCGAAGAACCACCCAAAAACAATCCCTTGCATTCATCCAGTGTTAGAAGGAGTCATGGATCACACCATTTAGATGGCCACTTATCTGGTCAACTTCATGCAAAGCTGGATCTTCAAGGAGCCTACTCAGCTAAGCAAAGCTTGTTGCCGAGTGAACTCTCAAAGTCAGCGCCATTGTGGAGGGCACTGCACTCGTGCATAAGTACTTAGAGATCAGCGGTGATCATGGAGCATGGAATAGTTTAGATACGATGCGAGTTACAATCTAACTCGGTAAGAAATTCCACTAATTATTTCACTAGTTTTATGTATGTTGTTTGAGTCCATGTGTATTGACGCAAGTTTGTGGGTTATATTCTGTATGCCTTTTTATCCTGAGATAATGTAAGTAATTCCTGGTAAGCAAGGAATTTTGTTTTTCCACAGCTTAAAGTCAAGGCAGGATTTGGTCAATGTCATATAATTTATGTTTCTGAAAATGTGTGATCTAGATGAAAAAGGGTCGTCTCTAAATCTGGAATGATCTGTGTTTGGTTGACAAGCATAGTTAACGCCGCAAATTAATCAGGGGTCATTCAAGTAAGGTACAGTTAAGTATAACCAAAATGTTATTTAGCAAGCGTGTGATTGTGTTTTCAATGAAGCATATCATCCTACCACCTACTGCAATATGTCTCCTGGATGTATTGGTAATGTGACTAATGTGGCGTTAAGTTGAACGATTTTTCGATAAATACACTAAGGTATTTTGCGTCATTTTTGTCTCTTCAATAGGGTAGTTATTAATGTGTACTTGTAATAGGAGATGAGGAAAAGTAAGGTGGTACTTCCTAAATGCTCTGGACACATCGAGTAAAACAGGGTTGGCTTTGGAGCCATGAAATGAATAGGATGAAAATTGCATAAGTATTTCCCTGGGGTTCTGCAATGCTTGCATTCATGATAATAACCGTAGTGTCATCTGCATATGGTGTCATGACTAGTTGTGTCATTGTTGAATTTAGGCAACTCAGTTAGGTACATGATAGAAAGAACTATTGATGAGTGAAGGAGTTTCTGTTTTTTTCATAAATGGCAGAATACTAAAAGGCCGTTAACTATCTACAAATCGGAAGTCTCCCCTTAACAAAATTGGTTTAGTGGCTGATCTTTGAACAATACTGGAAAATATCCATCTTGTTGATCTGAGATGAAATTACGGGCACCGCAGTCTTAACTGGCCAGACGCTGACTTACGCTGTTTCCCCGTTGTATTATATCCCGTCTCCGCTTTTAAGTTCGCCAGTTGCTTGGCTCTCGCTGTTGTCATCTCAGTGTCGTTCGCCGGTTCGGGAGCTCTTCAAGGTCATCAGTGGACGATTTGTGTGGATGATGTAAGGCGGTAAGTTGGAGCCGCTGGCAGCAGTGCAGCCCAACTGAAATATTCCAGAATGAAATGCACCATTTGCATTCTAGAATGGGCGTGTGGATCGCGCTCGGTGCATGGGTTATTGCTCGATGTGATGCTTCTCGAGTAACTCAGTAACTCAGCAGTCTATCTGACGACAAACATGAGCTACCAAGTCTGCCGCTAGAGAAACACTCCTAAATTTGGGAATGAGAGTGTCGGGCATCCTCGCCCACTCCTGAGCTAACTCAACCGCCCCGTCGTCACGACTCCTGATAACTCCAACCACCGCGGCCACTCGATATCCCGCAGCACGGACTCGACGCGCGGAAGCACAGCCACCACGTCCCGTTCCAGAGCCAACGCCTCCTCCTCGGATCGGGAGTCGCCGCGCTCTGTGAACGTCACCGGTCTGGCGGCCACCCTGGCCAGCCTGCGCCCCTTCTCGCTGTACGATGTGCGCGTGGCGGCGCACAACGCGCGCGGCTCGGGGCCGGCGTCGACGCCGGCGTTCGTGCGCACGCTCGAAGACGTGCCGTCGTCGCCGCCGCGTCGGCTCCGGTGCGTTGGCTCCGGACCGCGCCATGTGCGGCTGGGCTGGACGCCGCCGCCGGCTGAGGCACTCAACGGCAACCTGCGCGGCTACCAGGTCAAGACGGAGGCGCTCGAGGAGGTGAACGGTGAGTGCCGAGCATCAGCAAGTCATCGGGCAACGAGCCATGCTGGTGTCTCGTGGAGCAGGGGTGATCACTGGGTAAGGGTCAGAGGTGTGACTGAAGGGGATACGCTGTATTTTGGGCATTTATTTTCGGTTAGTGGCATAGGCATAACGTCAAGCATCAAGGTGATTTGGAGCTGCGTTCTGCACGTAAGCACGACTGGTCCGCGTATGCTGCAACGTCGGTACAGTGAGTTGCGGGGCCAGGGCCCTGCGACTGGCACCCGCTGCCGTTTCTGCCGCCGTTCGCTGCTGCTGATCCAGTGTCGCGCTGATCGTGACGCGTCCTCCCGTGCGCAGGCCAGCTGCTGTTCTCGGTGACGGATGTGACCGAGCCGACGACGAGCGTCCAGGGCCTGCGGCCATACAGCAACTACTCCCTGCATGTGGCGGCGGTGACGGGTGTCGGTGCGGGCGTGTTCAGCGCCCCCGTCTTCTGCGTCACCCGACAGGACGGCAAGTACACGCCGGCGGATGTGACGTGGCGTGACTGATGTGACGTGATGTGGCGGGATGTGACATTGTGGTCTTCACTTGCGCGCGATCGTTGCGCAGACCGCATGACAGTATTGCCCGGCACGCGTGTCGGCTTTGGCGCCTTCGCTCGCACGCATCATTTGTTCGGGATGTTTTTTTTTCTGGCCCCAGCGAGTTTTTCATTGATATCTAGCACCACATAATAGATATCTACGGCATTAGATATAAAATATGTTGTCTTCTGAGGTAGTATTAGATATATGTTTTTAACCACGGGACAGATGGTGTCACGCCTACATACCTTGGGGTCTTCGGCGGCAGGATTTGGATAAGATTTCGCGAACTATCGGTTTCGTCCTGCCGCACGGAAACGCCAAAAGTTGCCAGGGAGCAACCATTCCTGGGCGGATTGCGCAAATCGGGTTAACTTGGGGGCATAACATGCCCAGCTTGCGCGCACGGCGACCAGAGTGGAGGTGGCCAAGGTCAGGTGCTCGCTTGGCTTGGTATTTCCGGGACCATCGATGGCTTCTGACTCCATGCAGCACGCAATCTCTTGGTAAATGCGAACCCGGCGAACTGATGTGTTTTCCCCGTTGCGAGGCTGGCGTCCTCCTGGACGTGGGCGCACACCGGCAGCTGCATCAACAGCAGCTTAGGAAAGCCCAGTATGTTTACATAGGGGATAGACCAATGGACGCCGGAACTTACAAATAGGATCCTGGCGAAGGATTTCATCGGGTGTGAGAGCCTGTAGGGACCCATATGGAAAGAGTAAAGGGGTAGATATGAGGAAATTACGAGCATGGATACCGGTACAGATGTGATGCTTGCGAAATGACGGCCAGATATTACCTCAAGGAAAGTATGCACTGTTACTTGCGCTTTTTTAGTCGGAATTGCCTCCATTTATACATTATTTGCAATCTTCAACGCAAAAGAAGGAAGCTGCGTGTAATTTATCCGGTAATTCTTATTTATGTACAACTATGATGGGAAAAATTCAAACGGACGTGTAACGGGTGGGTATTGGCATATCGTTAGTAATTGATACCGTGCATGCATAGGCTACCATCACGGGCAGTAGGCGGATAATACGGGCGTAACCTCATCCAAACAGAACTGTTCTGAGAGATTTTCCAGAGTCTGCTTATTATTCACAACAGCAAAAGACAGTCTGTAGTGGACGCTCCCATAGCTGAATCTGCTGTATGAACGGGCTTGTGCCGCAAATTGTGCCGTGCTCGTTTGTCATCGACGGTTGTCGTGATTACCAAAGCGGTCCACGCGACAGAGCACGCTGGATGATGAACATGGCTAACTCGGGACGTGTGGATCTCTCCGCGGCTCGGGGGTAAAGGCGACTCGGGCTGCTGGGTGGAAAAACTTCTTGTGCCGGAATTTGACACCTTTACCCAGTTCCATAAAGAAATGGATATCCCCGCCACGGTGCGCTAACTCGCTGTTCGATATCTGGTAGTAACGAGCTCAACATGACGCGCCAGCGTTTTACTCCCGCTCCCGGCCTCTGACGCTTGTCGTGATCCTCCAACAGTGCCCTCCGAGCCGTCAGCTGTCGCCGTAGCCGTGACGTCAGCGCAGAGCGCGCTTGTCAGCTGGCTGCCGCCAAACGAGCCGAACGGAATTATCACGTCTTACGTGATTTACGTCAGGTGAGGAGGTGGCAGGCTGCCAGGTGGGTGCATTTCATGATTGTATTAAATTCATGCGCTGCCAGCTTGTTGATAGCTCAGATTAGATCGATTCAGAAACCTTCATCAAAAATATATTTCAAGACCCGACCGGCCATAAGAGCTTACCGACAGACGCGGGTTGGACGAATTCAAAACAAGTAAAACGAGGGAGCAATTGCCCTCAGTGTGTGAGTGACCTTACCGGAACAGAAAAATTCATTCGAGGCAGTCAAATGACCATTAGACGACAGACCTTGAAGATGTTTGTACCACCATTGTAGACGTTGGCAGGCTCCTAATGCATCTACAGGCTACCCAGAGGACGTGCAGGATCACTAGGGGGGGGGGGGGGGGCTGTAATATTGGACAGAGTATGTATCATGCCACCCTTGGCTTTCCTACCGATCACAAGAAAATGTGAAACGATGCGACGCACGTCAGTCAACAAATGTGTGTTACATGCGTATATACCTATAACCCGACACCTATATATGTATATAGCGAGAATTAGCATTTAACGATGTACATCTCGATTTAGGTAACTGTTCGACGCGTGACTAGGATCATCAATATTGCTATATTTTTGCCTCCGGCGTGGCAAGAAAGAATGAAGGAAAATGATATTACAGCAGTGGAGTTAAAACATATCAGTAGTCTCTTTCTTCCTCCACTAGTTTGGGGGCCGTTCGTCAAATGCTTTACACATTTACAGTAATTTTCAATCCCTCTTCTTTCTGGCTACGGTATAGTACGGTAGATAAAACCCATCTCCTCTGGTTACGCTGTGTTAGGCGTAACATACCAAAAATATTACCCCGTTTGTCCCTAAACTGAACTAGAGGCTCGGAACAAAAATGGGTGCGTCGCTTGTTATGAACGGAAGCCAACGGTATACGGCTTTAAGCCTGTTGCTCTTGTTTAGATTTGGCACGATTTAAAGCCATATCAACTGGCCATTGACCAAATAATACACTTTCCGAATGGACAGACTTGTGCGTGCACTGCAATTTTTACTAAGCCATTATTTAGGTGGGTTAATGGTCTCTGTGATGTTTGTTTAGACCTTGGGCTGGCTTGTCCAGGAACAGGAGCACAAAATGTATCATTATTTAGATAGCACACCCATTTATTAGTTGATCGGGAGGATGCTATATTGCTGTCTTGCACCAATTTTGCACTAGGAAATGATGCGGCTGTGTATCATTATGTGTCACTGTGCACAAACACATCCTCAGCGTAACGTTACGCTGTCCAAACCCCTTCTCCTTGCACGCTTCGGTTACGCTCCAGTTCCAAGACTTCTCCGAGCCTCCAAGAATCTAAACCTTTCTCGTTCACCCTGTACCTATTTTGACTTGGTTTCTTGAAAAGCAGGGGGAGTATTCGAGAATGCAAACGCGACGCACCGAACTGAACTGAGCTATCAGAAGATAACTTTTCGGAGAAGGGGTCTTTCATCATCAAGGATCCTTCGCCAGTCATGTGCCCCCTTAGTGGCTCATGCGCCTCATGTGTCCTTACCAAGGCTCTGGCTGCTCCCCTGGACATGCGACGTACAGATGTACAATCGCACGGTCACTGAAGGGCCATTTCAACTCGCAACGCTATTGCAATCAACCAGTGTCGCGCACGCCGTTGCCACGATGAGCGCGTCGTTTGCCGCACGTTCGAACTGAAACCGGTGAGGGTCGCCTTCCGTTCAGAGCCATAACAGCTTGGAACGGTGGAGGAGTGCTGATGCTATATATGTGAGCTTGGAAATGTGGCTGCGTGGAGGAGTGTTGATATTTTGTTTTACATTAACTGAAATGCATTTGCTTTGTCGATAAAGTTTGTAAAGTTTGAAGAGAATGAAAGTTTGAAGAGAATGTTTCGAGAATATGCACGTAAATGGTTTGCGATAGTCTCATGTATCTGTTTCGGACAATCATTGCTTGTGAATGCACACATGTCTAATACATAATGCATTACCTAAGCACATAATGGTAAATAACACGCAGTTTTGGCATGTCAGAATGCAAGAATGAGGTGCAGCTGACTTCATATTGCTTCACAAAACTGGCGCGTTTATAAGAAGCTGATGTGAGCTACTAGGCGTAAATAAAGAACCCAAACAAGCTGCCAGAATACCTGCCAATATATATATATATATATATATATATATATATATATATATATATATATATATATGAGGGTTATATATAATATATAGCATATATACACGTGTATATCTCTCTGTGTGCGTTTACGTGCGTACGTGTGTGCACGCATGCGTAACCATAAATAAGCGGACGAACTCAGAGAAGTTTTTTCATACTAACCTCGTTTGGGTGGCTTCCACGACTCCGACCCTTTCTCCAATCATCTTGAGGAATCGACACCCAAGCTTCGCCTACATTCCATCGTGCGTCTCTGACAGATCATGGGCCTGGCGTGTATTGTCCCAGGGCGGTGTCGCCATCGACCACGGCCACGGAGGAGCGGCTGCCAGTGTCGCCGGCCGCCCTGCTGCACTCGCTGGCTGGGTTAAGTGAACGGGGCGACTACGCCGTTAGGGTGGCGGCGCGCACCTCCGCCGGCGAGGGGCGGCCCTCGCGGCCCGTGCCCTTCACTACAGCTCTGTCCGGCAACGGTGAGTCCACCTCACCATCACCCTGTCCGGCAACGGTGAGTCCACCTCACCATCACTCTGTCCGGCAACGGTGAGTCCACCTCATCATCACTCTGTCCAGCAACGGTGAGTCCACCTCACCATCACTCTGTCCGGCAACGGTGAGTCCACCTCACCATCACCCTGTCCGGTGACGATGAGTCCACCTCACCATCACACTGTTCGGCAACGGTGAGTCCACCTCACCATCACCCTGTCTGGCAACGGTGTGGCCACCTCACCATCACCCTGTCCGGCAACGGTGAGTCCACCTCACCATCACCCTGTCCGGCAACGGTGAGTCCACCTCATCATCACCCTGTCCGGTGACGATGTGTCCACCTCACCATCACTCTGTCCGGCAACGGTGAGTCCACCTCACCATCACCCTGTCTGGCAACGGTGTGGCCACCTCACCATCACCCTGTCCGGCAATGGTGAGTCCACCTCACCATCACCCTGTCCGGCAACGGTGAGTCCACCTCATCATCACCCTGTCCGGTGACGATGAGTCCACCTCACCATCACTCTGTCCGGCAACGGTGAGTCCACCTCACCATCACCCTGTCCGGCAACGGTGAGTCCACCTCATCATCACCCTGTCCGGTGACGATGAGTCCACCTCACCATCACTCTGTCCGGCAACGGTGAGCCCACCTCACCATCACCCTGTCCGGCAACGGTGAGTCCACCTCACCATCACCCTGTCCGGCAACGGTGAGTCCACCTCACATCACCCTGTTCGGCAACGGTGAGTCCACCTCATCATCACCCTGCCCGTGACGATGAGTCCCACCTCACCATCAGCATTGTCCAACAACGGTGAGTCCACCTCAACATCAACCTGTCCGGTGACGCCTGAGTCCACCTCAACATCAACCTGTCCGGTGACGGTGAGTCCACCTCAAACATCTCCCTGTCCGGTGACGGTAAGTCCACCTCAACATCACACTGTCCGGTGACGGTGTGGCCACCTCACCATCACCTTGTCCGGCAACAGTGAGTTCACCTCAACATCACCCTGTCCGGTGACGGTGAGTTTACCCAACATGACTTTGTCCGACTTTGTCCGGCAACGGTGAGTCCACGTCACCACCACCCTGTCCGGCAACGGTGAAAGAACCTCACCATCACCCTGTCCGGTAGCGGTGAGTCCACCTCACCATCACCCTGTCCGGCAACGGTGAGTCCACCTCACCATATCACCGTATCCGGTGACGGGGCGTCTACCCCACCACTATCTTGTGCGGCGAAAGTGAGTCCGCTTCACCACCGCCTCGTGTAGAAACGGTAAGCCCGCTTCGTCAACCACCCATCCGACCACGGTGAGTGCGCTTCCAACTGATCTGCTGATAGCGGTGACTTCGTTTTGAACCGCTTTGTTGAGTACCGGGGAGGCCGCTTCACCATCCTGCCGCACGGAGACTGTGATTGGCTTCTGGACTTCAGTTTCTGGCGTCAGTGAGATGTCCCATGGCCATTTGTTGAAAATGTGTGTTGTAAGCTCCGCTGCCATTCTGGTTGGGGTGATGAGACAGTGAGGCCGCTAATGGTAGTCATTAACCATTTGCCCAGCCATTTCTCGAACTACGTGTGTAGTACATTTACATTTGCATGTATTTCGTAAATGACGAGCTGGAAAATAACAGGAACGTGACATTTACAACGTGAGCAACATACTGCCGAGAGTGTTGGGTAATCCATCAACTCGTTGGAGCCCATGACTGCACTCACGCAACGCCGATGCATCTTTGTTAGATATGAAGTCATCAGGCTTCGGGGTTGACTTTCTAAAGTATTTTATTCATGCGTCCTGGCATACTCTTAGAACACATTCAGAAACAATTTGCACATAAGGTGTACTGCACAAAAAGCACCATGACATCCACTGCTTTGATATCCTGGTAGAAATGTACGAGTGGTATGACTTGCATGGCACCGCAAAGTCTTTATGTTCTGGTCCTGTCTCCTCAGCGGCGGTTTCACCCTGTCACTACGTTTTGCAGAAAACCAACCCGTCCCCCCCCCCCCGCCGACCTGCGCTTTGATTCCTGCACGTGTGGCGTTGCTCTCCTGACCTCACTCACCACCTGACTGAACTGAATCGGATGGCCGCTGTTTGGAGCGATCCGCGGCGCTATTTCTAGGTGCGTCGGATTGTGTCACGTCCCGGGCAGCTCCATCGATGAATAGAATCAGTTTCCGAGGAGGGCTGCAGCCCAGTCTGACCCTTGGACTCGGCTGGCCTTGCGCCTGCGCCTACCACTCCGCGCTCTCGCCGGGGATATTGGGCCTCTGTCGGCTGTGATGGCTGCGCCGCAGACTGAACGGACGGTGTCGGTGACCAGAAGCTGACCTTCAGCACCAGTTCAGTACAACACCGCACCGACGTCAGCGGGCCTGCGCACATTTCCTCCGTGTCTGCCTTACTGTCGTGCATGTTTCGGTCGCCGTGTCTGCTCTCACTGTTGTGTTCTCTAGCTGTCGTGTCTGTTTTAGCTGTCTTACATGTTCCGACCACGTGTGGCCTGCGCGTCTGTCCTCACCGCTGTGTCCCCCCCCCCCCCCCCGCCCCCGACTGTCGTATCAGTTCTGACCGTCGTGTCTGTGCGGCCGCTGAGTCGGTCCTGACGCGACTGCCGTGCCTATTCGGACCGTCATCTCCCCGCGCCCGCAGTACCAGTGCAGATGGTCCCGCTGAGTCGGTCCTGACGCGACTGCCGTGCCTATTCGGACCGTCATCTCCCCGCGCCCTCAGTGCCAGTGCAGATGGTCCCGCTGAGTCTATCCTGACGCGACTGCCGTGCCTATTCGGACCGTCTTCTCCCCGCGCCCGCAGTGCCAGTGCAGATGGTCTCGCTGAGTCGGTCCGTTGCTGTAGACGAGGGCGAGGTGCTGACTTTGCCCTGTCGCCACGTGGGCGAGCCGCGACCCAGCCGGACCTGGTACCGGGACGGCCAGCCCGTCCACGATCCTAGGTCAGTTCAGCGTTACCGCCACCTTTCGTCGCCGCCGGACACCACTTTGAGCCACCTCGTGGCAGCTCGGCGCGCTCAGTGGCGTTTGGGTGGGATGCTCAGAATGGCCGTAGGCTACGCTTTCACTTAGTTTTATGGCATTTGCTGCCATAAAGATGCCAGCAGGCGCCCTGGTGATATTTGGCGAAATGGTTATGGCGTGAAGAAGCTGTGGTCGTAATGCGGATTCCGGCAGTGTGAACCAAAGGTGGTCTGAACAAACGCCATGAGTCGCTGGTTTCCAGTAAACAAAGTCAGTGTTCCATGCAATAGATTGCTAACGCTGGTCCCCAGATGTGATGAGCTAGTGCCGTTTGTCCCCAGATGTGATGAGCTAGTGCCGTTTGTCCCCAGATGTGATGAGCTAGTGCCGTTGGTCACCAAGTGCATACCGGGCAGTCGTTTGTCTTTCAGCTGACCGCGTGGGAGTGTGCAGGGTGGTCACATATTATGTCCGCTAGCTTAAAATGTTCGCCTTGTGTCACCTATGCTGTGATGATTTATGGGGTCCGACGCTATGTTCTTTACCCTGGCAGCAAGGGCAGGCACCGGGGATCATGCACACCTCAAACTGCGGTCACGTGACCTGAGGACAATATGCAAAATGGTCCATGTCACCCAGCCAAGCGCTTCTTATACATATGGTTGTAAAACGATCGTGTCAAATGGGCGTTTGCTGGGGTTATTTCAGTGAATTTTCCTCGCTGATGTCCAGCACCACCCTTCAAGCACATTTCAGTTTCGTGCCATCCGTTTGTCCATTTGTGTCCGTCCCACCTCCCCCCCCCCCCCCCACGTCACCCGGGATGCGTGTGGCGCGTCATGCTTCGTCTGTTCTGCGTCAGGTTCGTCACGCTGAAGGATGGCTCACTGCAGCTGAGTCACGTGACCCGGAGGGACGATGGCAACTACACGTGCCGGGCGTACAACCGGGAGAGTACAGCGTCCGTCACGTACGCCGTCAGTGTGCTCGGTGCGTCCCCCGGGGCCGCCGGCGTCGGGCGTCACGGCCGACACGGAGCTACGACGGATACATGCAGAAGGAGGGGCGTAGCACGTCAGGATCTCACGCGCCTAGCCGTTGTTTAAAGCGCGCATGATTTGCTGTGCCCGCCCGTCCTGCCAGGGTGAGAGGCAGATGAAGCCATGTAGGCAAAGCGGATGAGTGGATCTGTACAAGCCAGCTTAAGGAGGTGTACAGAAGTAACGGCTGGCGGGTGGTAATGTCCCAAAAACTGTGTGTTGTGCACAACCCATTTTATGCTAGTTGTCCACGCCACAAAAACGCCGGACCGTTTCATAGCTATGTAATAGCTTTCGGAGTATCAGTGCTTACTTTAATGAAAACCCTGGAGACGCCGACTGCTAGCGTACATGACATTTCTGGGGCATGTAAGAGCGTATTCAACCGTCATGGAGCGGTCTTTACGAATGCAACCTTCGCCCCTATAAACCAGCTTGGAAACAGCGCTTACAGCTATGTCGCTAGATGTCTCTTATGTCGCTGCCAGGTGTTCCTCCCGCCCCGACGCTGCTGGTGAGCAACAGCATGGGTGACTGGCTGATGGTGCGCTGGTCGTCGGGTGACCCACACGGCCTCGTCATCCGCGGCTATCGGCTGGAGTTCTGGCACGGCCACGGGCTCCACCGGTCCGAGGTCGCCCTGGAGCGGTTTGTCCGCGAATACAAGCTGGCCGGTCTCACGTGCGGCACCGTCTACCATCTGCGCCTGCGCGCCTTCAACAGGTTAGACACGCCGGTCAGGGGTCGTGAAGAGGTCAGACACGTTCGTAACAGTTTGTCAGCAGGTTCGATACGCCGGGGCAGAAGCCCTCAGCAGGTCAGGTGCGGTCGGTCTGAGATAAATGGTCAGCCACGCCTGTTTAAAGGCCTTCAGCAAGTTAGGTGCGGTCGATCTGAGTTTGAGCTGGTCGGACACACTCGGTCAGAGTTTGTAGTAATCAGATGTGCTCGATTAGGTGCTGTCAACAGAGCAGATATGGCCTATCAGTAGCAGCTTGCAAGTCAGTCACCCAGCGACTGTGAAAAGGTCAGGCCAGCGATCGTCAAAAGGCCAGTCGCCCGCGGCCAGTGCCCGTCAGCAAATCAGACACCGTCGGTCAGGACGTCAGCGACAGGAGATCAGGCACCGTCGGTCAGGACGTCAGCGTCAGGAGATCAGACACCATCGGTCAGGACGCCAGCGCCAGGAGATCAGACACCGTCGGTCGGGACGTTAGCGCCAGGAGATCAGACACCGTCGGTCAGGAGGTCGGCGTCAGCAGATCAGACACCGTCGGTCAGGACGTCAGCGTCAGCAGATCAGACACCGTCGGTCAGGACGTCAGTGTCAGCAGATCAGACACCGTCGGTCAGGACGTCAGCGTCAGCAGATCAGACACCGTTGGTCAGGACGTCAGCATCAGCAGATCAGACACCGTCGGTCAGGACGTCAGCGTCAGCAGATCAGACACCGTCGGTCAGGACGTCAGTGTCAGCAGATCAGACACCGTCGGTCAGGAGGTCGGCGTCAGCAGATCAGACACCGCTGGTCAGGGCGTCAGCGTCAGCAGATCAGACACCGTCGGTCAGGACGTCAGTGTCAGCAGATCAGACACCGTCGGTCAGGACGTCAGCGTCAGCAGATCAGACACCGTTGGTCAGGACGTCAGCATCAGCAGATCAGACACCGTCGGTCAGGACGTCAGCGTCAGGAGATCAGACACCGTCAGTCAGGACGTCAGCGTCAGGAGATCAGACGCTCTCGGACAGCTGGCTGTTTCAGATCTTAAAAACATTTTGCTGTTGAACCGAATGCTTCAAAATGGATTCTTTTTTTCATTTGTTCGCATTGAGCATTGAAACGGGTATGGTTCAGTGAGCAGCACCAGCTATTCACATGGAGAATATATTGGCACTGCAGCCTACGCCCGACTGGCCGGTAGTAACCTACTCGCTCGGCGAGAGCGGGGGGCGGGGGGAGGGAGGAGGCGGGTAGGGCGCTCGCTAGAGCTTTCTCCTGGCCTTAGCACGCACGCATTTGCCTTGCTGGGGAAGAAGTACTTACAAGTCTGTAAAAAACAAAAGCTTCCTGGTTGTAAGAGTGATAAGAAAGGTAAAGGTCATGTTTGGCCTTATCCATGGATCTTTGGGATACTTAAGGTCCCACAACATTTTTAAGTTGTTACAGCATTTGACAACTGACAAGATCCCATTAGTGGCACTATTTTGCCGAAAAATGAAAATAGCAGAAAAAGAGCTGACCTCAGGTCAGTGACATGGCCTCTGCAATAAATATAGCGGCTGGTGATTGATGAAAATGTGACAACTGATGATGATTTTTGAGATGTTATAAAATTTTGCAAGCGACAAAATCCCATCAGTGACACAATTTTGCCCAAAAATGAAACTAGTCGGCAAAAAGCTGATCTCAGGTCATTAGCTTGGGCCCATGCAATAAATATGGTACCTGATAAACTTCCAACGGGGATTAGGGTTAAACCGAACAATGAGCAATGACAACAGACCACGGCGCTCCAAATAGTTTGGAACATCGACGCCTTTTGATCAATCGCGGGTCGACGACCTGAGGTGAACTGGGCTCATTTATTCACAGCGCGTGCAAAAAATGTCTGAACAGATACAGAAAGATTTACGAATCTCCACCATTCGTTCTGGTCCATCCTCGAAAATCCTGAGGGGTTAGGAGACCTTCCCCCATTGGATGTGGGCTAATATTTATGGGCTCGAGCCACCAATGTATATTTTTATCACTGGTTTCATTGGCCTCGTCTGATTATGGCTTTACGGAAAAGCGTGCGGTGAGCATGCCCAACTGGTGCATACTCATCGTCACCTGCCGCATCATTTTCACGTAGGCATCATCCTTTACTGAGAGGGCCTGGCCAAACCAGTAGATGATGATCCTCCCATGGATAGTCTCCTCCCAGCAAGCACGTCGCCTACGGACCTCACTGTAGCTCGCTCTCCACCATCACCTCCGGGTGACGAGCAGCCCAGTAGCGTTGATTTTGCTCAGTTCGCGCTTGGTTTAACACAAATCATTTTTCATCGCTCCATATCACCTGATTTTCCAACTCACGAAGCTGATGGAGCAGCCGTTAGTCGGACTCCTACCTTGTCGTTTTCGCTCGTTTGACGGGACTATATGCGAGGCCGGTATGCATACCAGCCCAGCAACGTCTTCAGCACTCACCGGACAGTGATGACGGAAGTGTGCAGAGATTTTTCCAGCTGTCAAATGGAGACGAACTCCGTTTCCATTCAGAAGTCGTCGTACGCGTTGTATGCTGTTGAGCCCCGCGTTGATGACTTGTGATGAGTTGACGCACTAGGTCATCTGTGAACTTGCGCCTTGGGCCTGTGTGCAAGGCATGGAGGTCTTCGCATAATACATAACATGTTCAGTTTCAGCCCCATGTTGAGTGCACAACATGGTACAACGCTGGCCCAGGCTGAGCTGACCTACTAGATCATGCATTAGACGTCTCCAGGGAGATATATGTGGCAAACAGCGCCTTCATGTTGCATTAGGATATCCCTCTTATCTGATTTCGTTGCTGAAATATGCAGGCTGCAAAGCATTACCCAGCACGAACTTTGTCGCAAAGAACATTTTTGGCCTGTGATGGCCTGGCATGAGACCAAGATGATCTTGACTCGACCTCGCACGATTGCAGCAATAAATTTGATGCACTGCGGGGGGGGGCTTATCGCGCGCAAAGGCCAGCTGGCTCAGGTCCCCCATGGGTTACCCTGCACCGAGCATAGCAACCATACATGCGTACTGCCGAGCATGAGACTTGGAGATGTGCAGGCGAGCAAACAGGCTTGTGAATTCGAATGTTGACGTGGGTAAAAATCGCATGCCAATGACGGGTAAAACTTAAAATTGTCACAGATTTATGGATCATTAAACTCTTTAATGTAATGCAGGCCAACGAACAAAGTACCGCATACGTGTATAAATAAGAAGAGAAAAGTCAGAGCAGTAAGTAGTTTGAAGCCGTGGCCTCAGCATACTCTGCGGAGAAGCCGTCAGAAAATGTTGTTCTGTTTACAAGCGTTGTTAGAGTAGTGCCACAACGCTTTTTCAAATGGTGTGTGATTGTTTTGCCGCCTTTCTGGAAATACGTACAATGTCGGTTTATCTCTGTAACCCTTTTCTGCAACAACCATCTTTCAGTACACCTAGATCACATGGCAGTTGAGAATAATCACTGCCCCATTTTTGTGAAAGTTATACGTGATTCACGGCCTGTTGCTGCACGGGAAGCAAGCTTGCATGAAGAGCCCGTCCTCCGTCCCTTGTTTGGTCCTCATGCCTCCTTAGACTCCTTATATGAGCACATATTGCTGCCCCTCACACACTCCGGCCGTGGATTTCAGCGAGCAAGCATGAGGCTGGGTCGGAAAGTGTACAAATAACGAAAGCTACATCGACACATCACATTATTTTTAATTGGATCACGGGTGGAATCATAGTTCCGACTATCGTGGTCGTCTGTTGCGTTAGTGTGCACACACTATTAGTACGTGTGCATACTAACGCACCAGACGAGAGCAACAGTTCGAACAATTCTTCCACCCGTGATACTTTGCCTCATCTGAGTCCTTCCGTAAAACAATCGTTATGTATTGCCCCAGTAGTGGAGCAGCTCTCCTCTTTTAAGCTCGTCCTTTTTAAGCTTTCATTTCCCGGGTTTAGCGTGGCGGGAGCACAGCCGCTTGCTGGAGCTCCTTGCGCAGCAGCGCCGTTGCCCTTGGCGCTAATCCCTGGCGTCCGCGCCTCGGGCTGCTAGCGCAAACCGCCGCCGGGGCCGCCGCCGGCGCGCCGGGAGCGCCGCTGGAATTTGATCAGGCGGGCGCGCGGCTGTCGTCGCCGGCGGCCCGGTGCGCCACCGTTTGCGACACCGGCGGCTGGCGGTCACGGCCGTGTGGGGCGCTCCTCAGGCCTGGCCTGGCGACAAATCACCGCTAACGACCGCTCTGGTGCCGGCGTCGCCACCCGTATGTCATCATGTGTCATCAGCCGACAGTCACGGCGCAGCTGAGGCGCTTGCGGGACGCGGTTGCGCCACATGAGTCGCAGGCAAATCTAGGGGGTCGGCGCTCGGCGAGCCTACTGTTAAGGACTTCCCACAGCCCGAATCAGCGGGGGCCGGTTTTTGTATAGAGCGACTCATTAGATGGCAACTTATCCAGCTCCTACTTCGTGTAGGGCTGCTGTCGTCTGGGTTTGACCTAAGGTTGATTTATGACAACTGCGTCAGAAAGTATGTGAGGTCATTGACGGCAATTGGTGGGTGTTGTCCCGAGGCCGTCTTCAGTGGGAAACGTCGCACCACACCTACCTTTTTCTTCAACCATTCGTTCCCCTTATAGCTATTCGCTGCCTGCTTAAGTGAATCTGGAGAATGAGCTTCCCCATACCCTCTCCGTCGTCCTGAAGAGTATGTGTGCGAACTGCAGGAGTGCACTAAACTATAGCTAGTTCACCAGTTCACCGGACAGGGATAGAGGTGGTTCCCTTGACGGGAGAAGTTCAGAGCTGCTTGGCCGTCCTATTTGGCTGGAAGGCATGCACGGAGACAACGGGTGGACGGTGTGGACGGAGACAACGGGAGAATGGCATGAACGGAGACGAATTCTGCCCTCATTACTGCTAGCGCTGTTCAATTAAACATAACATTCTAGCAGCGCGTGCGCTCAGAGATTCCCTGTATCGGCATTCTCGGCATGCTTGGGTTCATCTGGCAGGGCAACGACTTGATCCTGAACTTTTGTGTCAGGTCTGCCTTGGTCTCTCATCTGTCACGTGCCTCCGTTTCCTGATCAACCCCAGAGGTCTTTGATAGCGTAAAACTGGGGAGAGGGACACAGGATGGATTCATTTCACGTGCCACAGTTTACCCGCGCCTCGCTCAGCATCGAAATACTGAGGCTACATAATGGGTACTGGTGAGGTCTGGCCAGATGACCGGATCACGACCAGTGTAACGTTCATCGACGCATCAGATGACGATGCGATAAGGAAACAGGATAAGCGCAGCACTCCTCCCGGCAGACGTCTCCGCCCATATTGCTCTTGTGTGGGAGGATAACTAGCCGAGCGAGCACAAGAGGTCCGTGGCGAGTCAAACGCACAATTTTCGCGGGACTTTGATTCGGACCGGAACTTGGCGTAAGACCGTGATAATTTTTCTTACGCAATCCACCGTACATAAAGCGTGACTCGTCATCCAGCAATGCCTCGAGCGTGGCGTTGGCCTTTATTGGTCCACGGAAAGTTGATGAAGCAGTCTTTACGGCCTTTTCCCGGACCTCAGTTACAAGGAGTGCCTCGATCTATCCGGTAGTTTATTCCAGCCTGTTAGATAATTAAGTGGACATGCGACATCGCGATTCAAAATTGTCTGGCCGAGAGCCTTTGGAAGATCCCAATATTGCCCTGTGTAACACGTTTCTACTGTTTTCGAAGATTTTCAGACATCTGTTTTGCATATCTGTCGTAACCTCTACGATTAACATTTCCAGGGGTCTGAGCTCGACATTGTCTTGCCAGGCATGTTGATAACGCGCGGCCTACGTCCCAGTGTGTTGTTATCGTTCACCTTCTGAGTCCCCGCAACCGTTTACCATGTTCACGTGTAGTGTTGATAGGAGGATAAGCGAAAATGAATGATGGTCACGCAAACAACAGCGTACAAAACTATCAGAGCTCCCACCCGACCCCTACTCCCAAACGTATGTTGCATTTCCAGTTAACAGGCTTCTCTCAAATGAATGTCGCCTTGGCCTAAACCATGGTGGTTTTTGTCGTGGAAGCGGTGATAAGAAAGGAAACGTGAAATTCGAGACTGAATCCCGTTTCCAGCAGCGACAGATAGAAAACTGACAACGTGCGTCGATTTTATAACATGATCAATTCACTTAGCTAGCACGCTTTGGTCGATACGGGACGCGTGTCTCTCTTCATGGAAGCAGCGCGCGGCTAGAGCTCACCTCCACGCGTAACACTGCGTCTGCCTGCCGCCGCAGACTGGGTGACAGCGAGCCGAGCCAGCCGATCAAGGCGCGCACCGCCGGCCGGCCGCCCTCTCTCGCCGACCCCGACCGGCTCGTGACCGTCAACGACACCGAGGTCACCGTGCGGCTTGACCTCTGGAGTGCCCCCGGCTGCGCCCTGCGTCGGTTCACCGTGCGCTGGTGGCTGGCGGATGTGCCAAACGATACAGGTCAGTTGCGGCGAGAGGCCGAGAGACCGTTGGTGGTACAAAGCAGACGTCTTTGAAAACAATGCTTGCTTGGAAGGGTGTTTGCCTGTGGCAGGTGGCAAAGACCAGCAAACATCAATAGATCGACCAGCACAGATTGAAAGGATGAGTTGAGGGAGACAGTTGATTGCGTTAGAAGTAGGCCATCTCCATTCCAAACCGTAGGCATTATTCTCTTGCACTGGTTTTAACTAGGATCTTTCCCCGATGACTCGACAGCTTCAGTGGTCAAAAGGACGTCCCACGCTGCGTATTTCGCTGGAAGTATCGGTGTGTGGCCGTGTTATACCTGGGATTTAATTCTGTCGTTTTTTGAAAGATCAAGGTATCGGCTGGCGGTAAAAAATTTTGTTTTATGTTCTTGTAATAAATGGTGGCTTGAGGGTAGTGTTGGTGCTTGTCACCTCGTCTTGAGTGATTCCATGAATGATGCGCTCGTCTTCTTAGTAGGGTGGTGACACGGAATTGAAAAAGCTAAGTTTGATCATGTTTTCAGCCGTTTTGTTGGAGCTTTGGCTTTGCCTTTCTCGTTCGACATGGTTTTTTATTTCGTCACAAATTTCATGATTGGAAAACCCGTTGGCAACCAACATATGTACCTGCCTAACACACTCTAGGTCAACCAATGCCCAAGTGGATCGATATTTCACAGTTCCGCTTGTGAAAACTCTAACTACTCACTACACTAGTTTCATGTCTAAAAAAGTCGCTGTTGCTATTTCAACACCTCTCCAGCATATGTAGGCTTCCAATGAACTGAAGTTGTATGTCCAGAGTAGGTAGCGTGCCGTGTTTGCTGAGCTCAAAGGTTCATTTTAGTACAAATTTGGTTAGCATACATTCGATGATGCTGTCTTTGTGTTAGCTGTTGCTTACATCAGCAATAAATATATACAAATACAAAAATACAAATACGAATGCAAAATATAATCGACACAGAAGCATTAGATATGTGGAGTGATGCTTCAGTCATGCGTAACTTTGCTTTCAAGTTCGTATAAAACGCATACAATTTCGCGAGGAGTTTTCGTAGAGGTGATCTCTTACCCATACCGCCCTGTTGACGATAAAGCTCGTCGCCATAGTCGTGAAATGTGAACTGTTTTGTGGATGCGATCAGCTTTTTTCGAGCGTGTTTCTAGAATGCTTGAATGATGGTAAGTCGAGTAGTTATACACTTTTCGTGAATTATGTGAATGGTAGCGTCTACGGCTGCAGTCGTAAATAAGCTCTCTACGTTTGCGGAAGCTATCCGTCTTGGTTTTGACGCTCGCTACTAGCATGCAACAGTCTGTGCTCACTCACCGTTTATATCCAATCTCGCCACTGATATCATCATTAACAGTTGGACCGCCCTCGTCGCTGTCCCCCGAGTTTCCGAGAGGATAAGACTCAAAAGGTCCATTACTCCCTCCTCACCATGGTGGTCCTCAGGTCCCCCATCACGCAGTCAAAGTGCCATATGCGTTCGAAAATGTCACGATTTTTCAGATCGAGGAGGCCGAGAGCGGATATGAACAGTTTGGGATTATGATCACATGTTAACACGCATACAGAAGGCGCACCGCTGCCGCCTGGCCAAGGCGGAGGGTCTCGGGCGAAGTGCAGCAAATGTCCAGAAACTGATAGAAGGTTCTTTACTTCCATTTTTGCACGCCATACACTTAACGTGAGTTTCCCAAGTCCACCATTTTATTGCACTCAGCTGTTGGTCCCATCACGTTATCAAACCGGGACACAGGTACAGTACCCGGACACAGTACCCGGACACAGTACCCGGACAGACCCGGCCGATCTGGGCCGACTCGTAAAATAGCTTTACCTTATCCCCCTCCGCATCGGCAGATCTCTGGCAAGAGACCATATCACTTGTTTAGTTGAGTGCTCCTAACCATGTACAGAGTCGTTTGGAAACATGTGACCGTCCGGTGCAGCGACCAAGGCGAGAGACTAGGTTGGAGAGCCGCCCCTGTGTGGATGATGTCGGTGAAATGCTTGTCCGTGTCGTCGTCAAAGATCATCAACGTCTACCATGTCTGCGAGAATCCGTGAAATACCATCGTAGTTGTCGGGACGTGCTCCCATTTGGAGAGGCCCTGTGCCAGCCACGCTAGCGGACGAAAGGTCAAGGCGAAGAGAGGTCGACTCACGCTCTCATGGATTGCGGAAGAGGCGCCAGAATGCGATGTCGAGCTCGGTCAACGTGCGCTAAACAAAAATGACGTAGCTGATTTTGATTTCCGACGGGAGGAGAGAGCGGCAAGCGAGCGAGTAAGGGAGCCAAAGAATGAGAATGAGAACGAGAACGAGAGCGAGAGCGAGAGTGAGGGCGAGAGCGAGAGCGAAGCACCGCACGAGAAGGCCTTTCACCTTGCTTACGAGACGCTGGTGCTCTCCGTGCGTGAGTGCTTCTATGCCGAGTGCGCCGCATTGCATACTCGCATCGTCGAGGCCATATAGCCTCAGCAGCTGAGTGTCTTGTAAGGATCCAATAATGCTGTCTAGTTTAACGTGTTTTCTGCCCACGTACGGTGGGACCTTCTGGGGCGCACCACTTCGGGGGGGGGCAGTGCACGTGCGCAGGCATGTTCTAGTGTAACCTGAATGTCTCTACGTGTTGGTTGCTGCTCTCATCTCAGTAGAGTAGGCCCCAGTCAGCCAGAAGCAAAGCAGGCTCAACCCATTCCGGCTCACCTCACGCCGCGGACGCGCCGCCAAAGGTGCGACTCGGTTGCAGAGCCGGCGAAAAGGAGCGCGCGCCATGGTGGTGAGGTGAACAGCGATCGGTTGTGGTGGTACACTGGCGGCGGTGTCTAGGTCCTGTACTCACTTTGGTGATTACGTGGTTCAAGCGTTACTTTTTTGGCATGAAGTACGTTGGTGTTCTTATCGGTCGGAGCAGAGCTAGGTCACGTATACAGAGCTTTGCTGGTTTATATTCAAGTCTGCGTATGTTGTCTGGAAGTCAGGGCTCCTCCGCATACAGTTTCGCCTTTCCCCTGCACGAATCCCGGCCACTTGCGGGATCTAGGTCCTGAAACAAGTCCACGACACGTTGCCAGCACGGGAAGCTATGCAATGTGCGTGTGAGCTTTGCTGGCGACTGTTAATGCTAGGGAATTGGAAGGGCTTACACATATTTTACATCATTCTTAGAAGCTGACTCAAAGGTGAAAAATGTGTCCGTGCCGGCTATTTCTGTCCCGATAGTTCAGTTGGTTGGAGCGCCTGCGTTCTAATCCACCCTCCTGTGGCGGAGTGGGGTCGGGTCAGCACAGACACCCGCTATTTGTCGTCGATTGGGATGACCTGGCGGCAGGTGGCGGCGGCCGCGGCGTGGTGTGGTGTCAGTCATTGGTATCAAGGTGGTGTAATCATGGTGTCAAGGTGCAGTGCCATCATTGGCCAGGGCGGACTGTGCCGAGCATTGCGGCGCGTGAGACTTTTGCCGCAGGATTCTGCTATTGCTCTAACATTTCACGATCGATTGGAGGCGTCGGGATTCAGGCAACAAGCAACGCTTACTATGGGCACTGATCCAAAAATTGCATCCACACAAAAGAGTTCGAATTCTTTTAACGAGAGCAAAAAGTCGTAAAACATAGCATATGTATATATATATATATATATATATATATTATATATGTATATATATATAATGGTATTAGGTATAAGGATGTAGTAATAATATATAATAGCTAGGTAGGATATAGTGGGGTGGTGTGGTGTGGTGTATATATATGCTATGTATATATATGCTATATATATATAGATATATATATATATATATACCTTAGTATCCTGCGCAACTCCAAACCTATATGGAAGCAGCTGGCTGCCGCAGCGTTCGTAGCACATAACATCTGGCTAGAAATGAATGCCCTTTTGGAACACATTTTTGAGCCGTAGCGATCGCGGTTACTATGTAGTATTCGCCATATGAGAAATGAAATCTCATATGCTAACTTTTGCGTACTTTCTATTATTCAAAACCGCACCGACCTCTCTGAATTACGACATGGGCACGTGGACACCACAACACTAGTACCGTGTAATAAACGCGTTAGTTAGTGGTGCATGACATGTATGCTCGCCCCACGTCATAATGCTCAAACAATAATTCACGTACAGAAGAAGGGCGCCTCCCGTGTCCTCGCCCGATCACGGACTGGTTTCGAGGTCGACCTCCCATTGTGTCGCCCTCCGCGGGGTGCGCTGGTCAGAGCGATCAGTTATGAGGCACGGCCAAGAGCCCCCAGCTGGAAAAGGACCTGTCGCGGTGTGGCACAACATTCGCATTACGGTCGGCGGTGCGCTGCCGCGAGCGGGAAGGTCACCTGCGCTTTCGATTCCGCGGATGCGCCGCCACCACCGAACGATCCCTGTTTCCACATGATCGCCCGCGTCCGCTCGTAGCCGGCGGGGCTTCCTTTCAGGGCCGGCGCTCAGCCGCGCGCCCCGTTCATCTGCCGCTCACATCCGCTCGCCTGACGTCACGCGCCCCATGCCGGCAGCGAGCGTGGAGCTGGGCGGCGCCGTGCGGCGACACGTCATCCCCAGCCTGCTGCCGGCCGCCGCCTACGTCATCAACGTGACGGCCGCCAACCCGGCGGGCGTCGCCTCGCACGTGACGCTGGTCAGGACGCGCGAGTCTGTCGGTAGGTCTCACACTCCTGCACGTGACGCTGGTCAGGACGCACCGGTATGTTGGTAGGTCTGGCACTCCTGCACGTGACGCTGGTCAGGACGCGCGAGTCTGTCGGTAGGTCTGGCACTCCTGCGCGTGACGCTGGTCAGGACGCGCGAGTCTGTCGGTAGGTCTGACACTCCTGCACGTGACTCTGGCTCGGACGCGCGGGTGTGTCGGTAGGTCTCACACTCGTGCGCGTGATGCTGGTCAGGACGCACCGGTATGTTGGCAGGTCTCACACTCGAGCGCGTGACGCTGGTCAGGACGCACGGGTCTGTTAGTAGGTCTGGCACTCCTGCACGTGACGCTGGTCAGGACGCACCGGTATGTTGGTAGGTCTCACACTCGTGCGCGTGACGCTGGTCAGGACGCACGGATCTGTCAGTTGGCCTGACACTCCTGCACGTGAGAACCCTCGAAAATGCCTGATAGGTGTTGAGTGTGCATGCACGGCCGGCGGCGATGATCCGTCCAGCAGGTCCGGCACTGACCAGCAACGCAACGTAATGGTCATGTGGAGCTCCTAGCTCCGGTCAGATCCGCGCTGGCTTGACATGTTCGTGCTGCACGAGGCCCATACCATGGATGAAAACACTCTTCAATAATGCAAGGTTTCTAACTGGCTGAGAGCCAAGGTACGGCAGGTGGCCCGCGTCAATATCGAGGGGGCTGCGATCAAGTGAGTGGTTGCCTTCAGGAACTGTTGTGCGACTGTTTAGCCTAAGAGGTGGTCCCACTGATTTTTGGAGGGATGTTTGTCATGAGCGAGTGAAGGTCCCAATGCCGGACGGATTTTGTGTGATGGAGAGCCAGCGTACGGTAGGAGGCCCCTGTGATGGGCGAAAGAAGGTCCCCACCATACGCCAAATTTAGTGTGACCAGCTGGCCTCGTTTCCGAGCCATAAATGCATTTGCGTTTTATAAAGTGACGGACATTATAGCAATGATCATGAAACAGAGAGTCTTGTGAAATTTTAGAAATTGAAGATCTTATAGGGAGCAATAAAATGCGGGTTATTTTTTCCAAATTGGCCGAGTAGTCCCCGATATTTCATGAGGGGAATCTCTCATACCAGTTTTGCAACCATTCTGGCAGCAAGCGGACAAATTTTGTCGGAAAGTTCCATTTTAGGTGTTGAAAGAACGTTCAGGTCTTAGTGGGCCCCTTCATGCATTTGACGATCCTTTGACCCTTGGTAGCTCTGGTTGTATGATAGTTTCCTTGCATTTTCCATATTTGCTCTTTTTGTCCCATGCCTTGTCACACAAAAACAAACAAGAAATTTGCAGCTTTTCGGGTAGGAGCTGATTTAAAACTTTTGTTATCAATATGGACATGTTCAGTACATTTGCTCCGCTTTTCTCGGTCTGTTTTACTTAGTCTCAGTGATCTTTGAAATTTGGACTATTTGGCTCCCCATTTTTGCTTGCAGTATGCATGCATCCATGCATTAGTGGGGTGGGAGAGGGAAAATGCAGCTTTCGAAGGGCCAGCGTAAGCCATGGGGGGGGGGAGAGGGGCAGTGGCCCGCTCATGAAGTCACAAATGGACACCCGAACGATGTGGCTATGGCAATGAACAAATCCGTTGTACACTAATAAAGATTTATGTGTGAATGCAAATCGGCCTTTCAGATTTCTGCAGACACATGAAAGAAACCAATGGAAACTGTGCGACTATTTTTTAACGCCCTGTAACATATTTCGCGTGTCCTTGTACACTCGCTGTTTAATGAAAAACTTTGCATTGTATCCCCCCCTCCATTGCGAAATCCTGCATACGCCTGTGGTACGCTACATAGTGCTCATCCGGTTCTGCGACTGCGGCGGCCCGGAGGGGCAGTGACGGGCTCTGGGGTCGTGCGCTGAGGTCAGAGGTCGGGCTTCAGTCGGGCGCCGCCGACGGTGAAGCGCGGGCTGCCGCCTCGCATCGGCGCGCACGAGAGTCCCGGATGTCACTTGCCGGCGCGACCGCTGCGCCGCAGCGGCGTCGGACAGGGACGCCGGCGGAGGGTGTGCCAACCGACGATCGGACCGCAAACAGGAATAAGGAGAGTGCATGAGACAGGTGCCTGGGCTGTGATTGCCCTGCCCAGCACTCATGTGCCGGTGCGTTAGAATTACTGTTCAATTGGAATATGCAGGCATGCGTGCAGCTAGCATTTCTGATGTTCTATTTCATGCTCCATGGTGACAGGGAATTAGATTGGCCCGTGAGATATTTGAGCTTTACGACACGAGCTAATCGGCCTGGTTTGACAAGCGACTACCTTTACGTTAGGCCGGGAACTGTTTCCCACGTTTAGCGCGTTGCTTTGGGCGCTCGGGCAGCTGAAACTCAGCGTGAAGAATGCGCAGTGTCTCCGCCACAAATCAACCGTTCGGAAAACCGATGTGTTTTAAGTGATTCATTCCGTGCCACACTCGGATGCTTCATGTTACTTTAAGCAAAAGTTCCGGAATTGTTCCAATAGGACAGCACGACGGGCAACGGCACTTTGCATAGCGGTTGCCGCCAGAGCCATGAATCTAGGTGACTAAGTAGCCAAAGCGCCAAATGACTCTACCTACTACATAAACTTCTTTCGTGACGCAATCAAACAATGAAGTAACATGCCTGCATTCCTCGTTATAAAAATAGTACTTAGAGTAGTTTTCAAACGTGATCCTGGTTATGCCAGGCATCATGCTTGCCCCAATTCCTCCAAATGCAAAAGAGTCCCTTTAGGAGTTATTTTTTTCAGGAAAATGTAATTGAAGTGCAGCGCGGTTTTTCACAATTTTACCCCAGGAAGAGCTTCCTTGAAACTTCTAAAAGTGGTAAATATGTGGATTACTATTGTAAATAAGTGTTCAATATCAAGTTTGGCGCCGATATTTTTTATGAAATTGAGACCAAGGCATACACATTATATACAGGGCATACAAGGCATAGGTACATCATACACATTAGTCATGTACGTGTTCATGTTCCAGACGCGTATACGTGCTCCGAAATATGCTAGCAAATATGCTAGCTGCATGACCCACTTACTTTACTAACGCGAAATGACTGTGAGAGTGAATAAATCCTGACCATGAGCATAGCACAGCTTTTGAGGCGGCATTATGTTTGAGGCTTGTGTTACGTCCCTATGACGTTGCTCGCGCATGTCCGGGTGACTTTCAGATAGGCGGAGCGTAGAAGACTGCCCACGTTCGTGTGCTTCAAGCTCAGAAACAAGTGGGTTAGAAGTCTTAAACAGGGCTTGACTGTGACCTGCAGGGAACGATCATGAAAATCGCCACGTCAACTAACACTTCCATGCGAATGGGGAACCATTCCTATCGTGTTCCTTCACCTGTACATTCCTTCGCCTGTTCATTGTAGCCCGTCCGTGAGTGGACGCCAAAAATGCCTTTAATCCGGGCTAGAGTGGCATGGCGGCTCGTGGAAAGCGATAATATCCAAACCGTATTTTGTAGGCTCACCATTCACATTCCCACATAGGCGAGAAAGCGTCATTATGTGCCATGTAGCTTCTCTGTGTTCTGTGGTCTGACGCATGTGGTCGTGATGATCCATCACAACTCGACCCCTAGAGACGGCAGTGCAAAGTGGAAGCCGGTGCAAGGAAGGAGGCAGCGGCCCTTCATTCATATTATCCATTTTCAACAACCCAATTTTTCGAAACACGAATCCAAAAGTAAAATTTTGTATTGAGTTGGTTGTGTAAAAATATTATTGGCCCTGAATGATAACTTATGGTATGATGGTGATAATTGCTCGCATTTGTTATTGCTGAGATGTAAAAGAATGTCTTCTTAATTAAACACACTCTTTTACCTCTCAGCTATAACAAATATGATAGCTGAAATATAGATATGGTCTATACATGTGTATATATATATATATATATATATATATATATCAAAAAATAGATATAATAAATTGCACTTTTTACAGCTGAGATGTAAAAGAATGTCTTCTTAATTGAAAACATGCTTTCACATCTCAGCTATAAAAAGTTGTTGTGTGACAGCTTGAGGTTTGTGCAAAGACCTACTTTTTTGTTCATTTTCGTAATTTACCGTGTTATGAGTCGTTTTTACTCCATATGTTGCACAAAGCTCACCCCTACTAACCGTTCTAAAAACGACGGAGAGAAAAGTGATGCTTGAAAAGATGCGCATTGAAGAAACTTTAGAAAAAGTCACGACATTTTTGTTTGCTGCTCAGGAACGGCCTTTGTTTGCCGGGTAAACAAAAATGCACCAGCGGTGGGACTTGGGGGAGGGGCTCAGAGCTCACCATAAGGTCATAATTCCAAACGTTCAAAACGTGCCAGCAACCGATGCCTCGAAAACTGCACGGGAACGTGATGGCTATACCGTGCGAAGCTGGCGTCATGGCATCAGTAGGCGTAAGTTATTCAAAGCGAACATGAAATCCCTGTTCCAAACACATGACGGCGGGCGGCTGAGTGAGAATAGGGGCGTGGGACAGAAATCCGGAAGCAAAGGTCGGGGTGACCAGCAGCCTAACAATCTCATGGAGGGTTTCTTGTGATTTCTTATGTTGTGTTAAGAAATGGTAAGCTTATTGGGTTCGGTATTGATGCGTCGGTATCAGTCCACCCTCAGAAACAGTACTGTAGTGTTCGTTTAAAAGCCTCATTTGCCAAAAGATGTTAAACTATAATAACGTTTCTTTGCTTCGCCAGGAATCTCCTTTATTCACGACCATAGACCATTTCGGGTTCGATCGTGAATTTGTCTTCAAATATCCTATCGATGGTCAGTTGCAAAACCGTTCTGTTCAGTTCAGTTCATTTTTATCGACGAATGAATGTAGCAAGTGAATTATTGGTTAATGATTTGTAGGTTGATAGTATAGTAATACATTAATTACAACAACGTAAACACATCCAAACAGGTGTCAAAAATATGAAATAGTATTCATCAACAACTTGTCGTTACACAGCGCAAGCCTATCATCTAGTTTCTTAACAAGATCCCTGGGGGTGCGAGAGGCGATGAAAGTCAGTGGCAGACGGCCTAAGGATGAGGCCATGCGATTCGAAAAGGTCTTTCTAGCTATCGACAAGCGGAGAGCTGGCAGCACAAGGGTGCCCAGGCCGCTGCACCTGGGTCGCACGCTGGCATATAGCGGGTGAGGGGTAAACGGGACCGTACCGCCACCGGATCCCGCGAATCATCCAGATCTCTGAGCACAACAAGGCTGTCACGATAGATCAATTACACAAGATCAGTTGCATGTGATATGTTCATGATGATGATCAATCTCACAAGACCAGTTGCCCACGCCAACCCAGCGCTTCGGCAGCCGGCGATGTGTAATATCGTCACCGAGCCCCGGCTATGATCCCGGTCTCACAGCCCGCCACCTCTACCACCGAGCCCCGGCTATGATCCCGGTCTCACAGCCCGCCACCTCTACCACCGAGCCCCGGCTATGATCCCGGTCTCACAGCCCGCCACCTCTACCACCGAGCCCCGGCTATGATCCCGGTCTCACAGCCCGCCACCTCTACCACCGAGCCCCGGCTATGATCCCGGTCTCACAGCCCGCCACCTCTACCACCGAGCCCCGGCTATGATCCCGGTCTCACAGCCCGCCACCTCTACCACCGAGCCCCGGCTATGATCCCGGTCTCACGGCCCGCCACCTCTACCACCGGGCCCCGGCTATGATCCCGGTCTCACAGCCCGCCACCTCTACCACCGAGCCCCGGCTATGATCCCGGTCTCACAGCCCGCCACCTCTACCACTATGTTGTTGACACGCTGCAGCCCCTCCCCGCATCGAGGGGCAGTAATGGACATGGGACAGTATAGGGCAGGAGGGAAAACGTGCGACTGGATACGAAGCTTACTGGCCGTGGGGTGAGGTGGCGACGCGTTTTATATCGAGAAGGATGGAGTTGCACTTCTTGACAAAATCGGACTTGTGATTCTCCCAGGAAAGTAGTGCAAATAATAAAAGCATTAGTACTGCCAGGATGGAGAAAGACGAAAAAAGGAGGAAATGATGAGTTAAGAAATGGAATCGAGCTAAGCCATGGTCTATGGTCGTGAATAAAGGAGATTCCTGGTGAAGCAAAGAAATGTTATTATGGTTTAACATCGTTTGGCAAATGAGGCTTTGAAATGAGCACTACAGTACTGTTCCTGAGGATGGACCGATACCGACGCAACCCTGATCTGGGGGCTCCACTCTCAACTGTTGCCTTGGCTTATAATAGTGTCAACTGGACGATGCTTTGGGCCTCTACCAGCTTTTGCTCTTTAACAGTGCCCCTCTGGCCCAGTATATTCACACTTATGAACGACGTGTCTTCTGGACACGGTGGAGTGTGCTCAGTAATCGATCCTCCTAGGTCACCGCGATATCATTGAAATGAGCCGACTGGTCACCACACGTGACCGCCCCCACAGCCACGGATCCTCCGAGGTCGCCGTCTCCTTGAAACAAGCCCACCGTTCACCACCCGTGACCGTCTCCACAGCCACACTTTGCTCAGTACACGACACCCTTCTCTGTCATTGTGCGTAACATATATGTCAAGGTGTGCTTTGACGATCGATGATATCAGTGATGTGGTTTTGGCTAGCTGTGATTTCGAGGCGTGCTTTTGCAATGAGCGGTGTAAATAAAAGGCACTTATTAGTAATCATGAATTAAATTAAAAGTATGAGTAGAAGCTTCTGCTAAAAAAACACGGGGGGAGGCGAAAATGAGTGTGACCACATTGTATTCACTTTTTGTGGCTTCCTCCCCTCCGGGTGGGTCCGTTGACCTTGAGTTTCCCTCCCCTCCTCCTCCCCCTCACCACCACCACTTTTACCAGTCTGAGCCCCCAACGTGCGGGACGTAGCCCCTGATAGCACGGACGGGTAAGAGCAACGATTGGTTCCATCTAACACATGTCACGCACGCAACAGCATGGCATCTGCTCAGTCAGCTCTGCTGGATTTGCATGGTAAAGGCTCCCAGCGTTGCCAATCTTGCGTGTGTGCTGCCGATTTTCTGTGACCCTGATCTGTCACATGCGTGTGACAGTGTCTGTGTTGTATTGCTCTCTGTGATCCACGTGAATCCGTGTGCTGCCACTGCTCTGACACAGCTGTTCCTGTCCCCGCTTAGCCGAACTCTCACTCTCAGTGTCTGCAGTGGTATTCGGTCAAGGCTAGTCATCAAACTGACGCATCACCAGCCCAGGGCGGTGCCCTTCAAGCGGCCGGCTGACCCGCGACGCCTCTGCCCCGCAGACGTGGGCGCCTCCTCAGTGCCAGCCGACCTGCGGCCGGGCCCCACGCTGGGCCTGCGCGTCGTGGTGCCCGTGGTCGCCTCCCTCGTCAGCCTGCTGATGGTCGCCTCGGCCGCGTATCTATGCGTCCGGAAGAGTGAGTGCACGGTAGAAAGGTCCCCGCAGGCGCCGCCGGCCTCGCATCGTTGCTGGTGACCTTTGGCCGCCGGCCGGTGGCCATGTTTCGATGCAACGCAGACGCCACGGTCTGCTAGAAACAGAGGTGTTCGTTTTGGCGCCGTGCCAGCCCACGTGGGATGTGTTCCTGCGACCCAGCACGTGGCTGGCGAGCGATCCGACCGGCCGGCCAGCCTGATGTAATAGCCGTCAGCTGTCCCGTCGTCACGACAATGACAATCAGCTGGCTCCGGGTTCTATGGGACACTGCCGCCGGCTTTGTGGTCGTCGATGGTGAAATGTGCAGAGAGTGGGCAGCTCATATCCATGGTCCTGTCCATGAGTCTCAGGTGAAAAGCCAATCTATTAAGCGGGGACCCTACGTCAGCTTTTACTGCCCTCCCGAGAAAAGGCGGTGACATGAACCTCCACAAGTGAAGACGTTGAGCAACTGGTGACGCATGGGTGAGCGCTGACGGTCGGGGTCTGGTCCTGCCTGTTGCCCAGGGCGGCGGAAAGTGCCGCTGTACTTGGCGGAGCCGCCGGGGTACGCCGTCGGTGGCAAGGCCCCGGAGCCACCTCCGCCGCCGCCGCCGCCGCCGCCACCGCCGTCGCTGCCGGCATCTGGTGCGGAGCCCCAGAAGCGTGAAGGTCAGTCAACGCCGAGCTGCTATAAAGCTGGTCGAGTAACTGGGATCGCTTCTTGGCGTGTGCCTTGTTACTTGGCCGGCTGTAGGCCGAGCATGTGCTGCTCAGCTCAGCTTAGCATGCAAGATGTAAGGCAAGCCCAGTTTAATATGCTGGTCTGTTTTATGTCGGCAAGGCGTCATTTAGGTATTAGTTAATGGTGGGGAATAACGATTGTCGCACTGGCTCCTTTTAAAAAAATGGCATGACTTGGGCTGCCAATATCTCCACGGCAGAATCATGGCATGATTTGGGCTGTCAATATCTCCTCGGTAGAATCACGTAATTTGACGATTCAGTCTGTCGTGGAATGAGCTAGACTGGCCTGGTCCCGCCATGTACGTTAGGAGGGAATCTATTCATCGTGACATCGGCTGCAGTCCGCGCACGTACACTGCAGGGCTTTGTAACCATCTCATGCCGAACCGCTCACCAAGTGCATACGGCCCGCTGATGCTCCTCTGGCAAGCTCCAGGTGCTCGACAGGATGCAGATGCTCCAGATGCTCCAGATGATCCAGATGATCCTTTTTCCGCCTGGTGTAAAATCCGTGATATGATTTGATTGTCACGAAATTTTGACAGCCTCATTAGCTGCTGGTGAATCGATGCAATTTTGACGAAGTTTTGGCGATCTAACCAAGTTGGACATGATGTCGGTCGTGAGTTGAATTGGGCGGTGACGCCGGACTGGCGGCGGGCTGAGCGGTCCGTGGGACCCGGGTTCCCGTCTGGAACGCCGGACGGGCGGCGGGGTGAGCGGTCGGTGGAACCCGGGCCCGCGTCTGTTCACCGTCGCGAGATATGGTCAGGGCGGAGAGAGGTAGTCAGAAACGTTGCTCAACCTTCCTAGCCGTTACCACCTGCGTGGCCTGGCACCCCAGGCGGGCCTGCCTATAGTCTGCGGGGGGCCGTCTCCGGGAGGACGGAGTGGGCGGTGGGCGCTGTACCGGCTGATGACATCTGCCCCAGGTCTCGCCGAGGACATGAGACAGGTAGGGGTGGGAGATTACGTCAGGTGGTCCGGTGACTTATGGGTACGCTAAGGACAGGCAAGGGACGGAAGCCGCTCAAAGGACCAGAAATGTGAACGTGAGGAAGAAAGATGAAGAAATGTGTAGATACAGAAATGGGAACGTTCACATTTAAACCTCTGCAGAGTATAGCTCCCCCCAAGCCGCGGTCTAATATATAAGTTCGGATAGTTTGTATGAAGCCGCCTCGGACACTGAAATGACCCCGAACGGTTGGTTACTCATCAGCGGCTCACACAAGATTCCTGTGAAGACGTGGAAGGTTAAGGTTCAGGGTTCAAGTGACGAACAGCCAGTTAAAGGTTTGGCAATACAGTTGGAGTCGTGCAGCAAGTATTGTACAGCCTGTGTGAATTATTGTACATCCTCTCCGTCACAGTGATCATTGGTGAGTCCTGTTGAGGAGAAGGGGAGATGCTTTTAAAATGGATTCATTATATTTTGCGGAAGCTCGCTGAGGCGCATAGTGTAGGAAGGGGAGCGACCCACCCCCTCTGTGGATATGTTCAATGAAACCCTGGCGCGACGTTTATGGCAACAAAAAAGAGAACCAGCTGGAAAATGCTGACATCGCGGGGTATAAACTGTCGCTGATGCAGCCTGAGTGTACCTGCAGCAAAGGAAGGCTTCTGACATCACTGGTGACCTCCTATGTAGAATGCTATACGTCATGTCAGTACCACACTGGGTCACCAAGGAAAATCCAGTTCCAGTGTATAATGTGTCAATATTAATTCTGAACAGTGCAAAATGCATTTTGAATTCCTGTTCGAGATCGGCAAGGGGCTTTGGGACGTCGCAGCTGTCTTCAGTGAGCAACCGCATGCTGTTCTGGTCTGGGAACGGATGCAGTGGTGCACTGTTCGCATTGTTACGCTCCGCCTTGCTGCTGGTGATATGGTCTGGCCGGAGCGCGCTGGGCTGCTGCTGGGTACGAACCTCAGGTCAGGCGAGCTCTCGCCTTACTGTCGATGACCGAGCCGTTTTAAAATGGCTGCCGAGGGGCTGTGCGACACTAACAATGTCTGCAGCCGTGTCCGGCAGACGGGACGGGGGCATCATTATTCAGTGAATTGGGGCGGCTCGCTGCAGGTGGCCAACTGGGAATGCGTCACAAGCTCCGTTCAGCCAGTTTGATGTACACAAAACACACAAATACAGAACATTCGAGCTTATTCTCTTAAAAATTTAGAGTGGTTTAGCAGCCTCCGAGAAGCCAAGGAAGCTGCGGATCTTCTAGGAACCTTCGGACCAAATTATGCGTATTGATAAAAACGGCAGTTTTCTAATGCGACCTTATAGGTAAAGTCCGGCTACCACAGTGCTCTTGTGGCCTTTGGACACTTCCCACTCGAAGATGAAGTTTGTCACCCTGTCTTCCTTAATTATGAACATTGAATGCCGAACGTGCGAACATCGGATGATCCCTCCCTGTCGGAGATCTCATAATGCCCTTGCCCTTTCCAACAGTTTCCAATTGTCCAATAGTCAAATAATTGACTCGCCATTATTTTCTTGAGGCGCAATTCCACCGCTGCTTGCCTTCGGGTGGTCATGAACCTAGTCCCCGTCCCCTCGCTGGTTCAAAACATAGCCCCACCGCCACTCTAGACCCTGTCCCATCGCCACTCCAGACCCTGGCCTATCGCCACTCCAGACTCCAGTCCCACCACCAGTTCAGACCCCAGTCCCACCGCCACTCCAGACCCCAGTCCCACCACCACTCCAGACCCTAGTCCCATCGCCACTCCAGACCCTGGCCTATCGCCACTCCAGACCCTGTACCACCGCCACTCCAGACCCCGGTCCCACCACCAGTTCAGACCGCAGTCCCACCGCCACTCCAGACCCCAGTCCCACCGCCACTCCGGACCTTGTCCCATCGCTACTCCAGGCCCCAGTCCCACCGCCTGTCCAAATCCAAGTCCCATCGCTTCTCCATACCCAGTCCCAGCGCTACTCCAGATTCCAGTCCCATCGCCTCTCCAGACCCAGTCCCATCACTTCCACAGACCCCAGTCCCAGCGCCACTCCAGCCCCCCGTGCCATGGGCGGTCCGAGTGCGGCGCCGCCGCCGGCCTGGCCGCCCCGTCGCTGGGCGGGCGGATGGGCCGTTTCGTAAGCAGGGCGCTGGTCGATCGCCGGCGGGCCGACGATTTAATGGCCGGCCGCCAGCGCCCCGGGGCTGGCCGTTTGACCGGCGCCGAACGCCGCATGAAAAGTGAATGTGCGCGCGTCTGACAGGGTTCAAAGGTCAGCTCGGGCGGCCGGGCAAGGTCGTTCGCGCACGTCCGCAGGGCAGCGGCTCACCGCTGGTCGGCGGACGCGGTGATGAATGTTGAGATGTGTACGGTGAGCGGCGCAGGGTCACTCAAAGCTGCGGAAGAACTGGTGCCCCGAAGACGTCACGTCCGCCCTGGTGCGCAATAATAATAGTCTTCGAAATATTGCCTGGCATTGGACGGAATATTGGCTGGTTGTTTTAACGTGAGGGGGTCGGTGAATGAGAAGGATGAGCATGGATATTGGCCGTTAAGTAGCAGCCGCCCGATGGGTCGATATCATACCTTCAGCTCTCACTGATCCTCGCCATTCCCACTGAGAAAGGAAAGGTTTTTGCATGATGAACAAAAAGCGTGATTTGTTGGAGCGTGATTGAAAAGCGTTATTCGTTGAAGAAGCGTGACGATGCGTTGGAATTTGAATTGGATCAGTGGGTCATCTACGGTCCAATGACGACCTCTGCTCATGCGTCCGATACCCAGGACCACAAATTTGATACGGATCAACTGCCGAGGTCGTGTGGTGCGTAATCAAATCAGGACTGTCGCCTTGTCACTGCAACGCGTACGCACGCAACCTGTCTCACTACTGTATTTTAAAGTTGGGAGCCTCGAAGACAATTGCTAATGATTTTGAAGTGTTGAATTGCTGTTGATGCACGTGATGGACCTTCGCATTCTACCCGTGAACTTCGACGATCAACAGCGAATCATTCCCTCCTGTGTGATGACGTCACTCTTCCCGCCACCTGCGCCGGCAGATGTATGCCCGTACGCCACGTATTACCCGGCGTCGCGGAGCCGGGCGCCGGGGCTGACCTCAGGTCACTGTGCGTCGCTGCCGACCCCGCTGGCCGCTGACCCGAGCGTCGACATGGAGGCCGCGTACGCCGACCCACGGCAGCACCTGCTCAGGCTGCCCCTGCACGGCCCGCCCCAGGTAACCGGCCTCAGCAGTACTACCCGTGACGTCACTGTGCGACCTGCGTCACTGGGGTCCAAGCCGTTTTGGTGGCGTCTTGTGTATGGCGCCTGAGGTGAGCTCGGTGAATGTACTAAATGCCCGAATATGCACACAGCTGTATACCGAATCTCATTGTCCTGTAAGACATTGTCTCATTGTCCTGTAAGTTTTTAGTGTGTAATTGAATCTTGCATTGCATCCCAGTGCGGTTACTCTTACCGTATTTCTTCCCATTTGTGTGATGTAATTTTTCATTTGTCCCATTTATGTCATGCAGTATATCGCAATGCAACTGTTCTTACCGCGTTCCCTCCCACTTGTGCATTCAGTTCACCAATAGACGAGCTATTCAACTCATTTTGCCTACACGCCTTCCTTACCGGATGTACTGCTGTTATTGCTCGGACGCCTCTTGTCGATTGTGCAATGTGTATGATCAGGCCGTTTGTTTTTGTGCACTTGTTATTAGAAGTCTCTTTTACTCAAAAATTGCCAAATGTCAATGGGCGAGAGGCGTCCAGAGACAAAGCCGGCGGCCACGCCGGTGTTCGGAGCTTTCAGGGCATTCGCGTCATGTGCGCGAATGTCAGCGACGCTGCCCTCTCTGTGTTTCGGTTCGCTTTTTTCTTGTATTGCTTTATTCCTCATGCGTGTGTTGTAGGTACTTCACGGAATGTCCATAGTGTATTTCGTCCTATTGCCGGTTCTATTGCGTGGCCCAGATTTCAGCAGGGCTGGCCTGTGAGTCACCCCGATGCAATGAAACTTACAAAAGTGTCTGGGATCGGACTCGAGGGACCCAAAAGTTACTGGGGTCCCCCCCCCTCCGATCCCACCGGTGGTTACGCCTATCATAACTGCATAGTTAATATAAGGCCCTGTGGATTCTCCTAAAGATGTGGGGGGGGGGGAATGGGGGCTGGGTTGGTCCAATCAGTTCAGACATGCAGTCTCAGGCAGCTGGGCCCAGTTTGGCGTGAAGCGGCCTACTCCCCCCCCCCCCCCCCATGATATGACTTACTCGTCAAATGGCCCCTTATTTCGAACACCCCGTTTATGGATCATTTAATTTTGAGAGGCCATTTCTGAGCTCTCTTCTGGACTCTCACTGAGAGTCCTGAGCACCCGGGGGAGCATTTCATTTGTCAAATGTTCAGCGACCAATGTCTCAGCAGGCAGAAAGATCCCTTAGTAGCATCTTGCACTCATATTATCGCCACAGTCTTTGCGCAGATAAGAGGCGATTATCGAGACATCTGAACCAGAAGAAATGGCAGAAGTGACCAGAACAAAGATTGAACACCTTGGGGATATACATGAAAAATGTATGTCTGACTCAGTGAATAAAATCGTTTTTTGTAACCACAGTTAAGCAGCTGTTTAATGCAAACATTAATACACAAATTGTTTGTATTACCGCCACTAGGATTTCGACACTTGTGCGCATGTGATGTATCAGCAAACGCTTGGCAGCATCAATTAATGGCCTGGATGAAAGCGTTGAAAGTTGGACTGTGCACTGATAATTTTCTTGGTCATGTCCGTTTTAATCGAAAGATTATTTGTGCCCAAAAAGCAAAATTAGCGTACGTCTTATCGCCATGTGAGCCAAGCTTAGTATGCTGATGTGTTTGTATATATAGAAATATATATATATATATATATATATATATATATATATATATATATATATATATATACGTATATAGTTATATGTGTATGCTGCCTTAAATCGGATGTGGCTAGTTGGTTTCAACCAAATCTGGGTAAATTTTAACAGCATGGGCATGTGGTTGGCCGATTTTTTTCAATGAGACGTTCGCAGAGAGTTGTTGATTTTGCATGACCTGTTTTGCTGATGTGTGTTGTGCCACGTGATATGGCACGGGTAATCTGGTCTTGGCATCTTTGCTAGAGAAATCATGGCGTGCCATTTCTCATATTGACTTGTGCGGCTACACTATTCTAGCCAGCCGTCTAGTATGATCCGCAACCCGACCGAAGAGCTCACGGCTTAACACCGTATCGGATGTGGCTAGTTGGTAGGCCAAGAAGTGGCGTCTACAGCCCACGTCGAGTAATTGACCTAACTGGTTTGTCTTCACCAGATAACTGGCATCTCAACTGAGCTGGATGGTCACGTTCCACAGGAGATGGCTAACTTCATAACAGGCGCGCAGCGGGGAGCTGGCGTGGGCGCGGCCCTTGACGCGTCACGGCGAGTAGGACCCAGCAGCATTAGCACTTACGGCAGGCTTCACGTTCCACACCGACCCCTACCCGCTTCATGTACAACGGCGCTCTTTCATTCATTCGCACAGCGGCCTTTCACTCCGGCTTAAGCGGATAAAACAAAAGCACTTCTGCGGGCGAGTCTCAAACCATCGGCCGTCCGTCATGACACGAGCCGAAACCGGACTGGTCGCACTTTGTTCTGTTCGAGTATTGGTGCTCATGATCACCACCCGGAGCCTTCTGCCATTCGGAGTCGCTGCCCGGTAACCCCTCCAGGTTTCCTTCCTAGCTGTCCCATGCGTGGAGCGTGTTTCCAGCGTTCGCGCCAGCCGCGTTACGCAGGATGTGGCGTGCGCTGCAGCTGCGGGCCGCATCCCCGTGCCGCCATCAACGCCATCGATCTCTTCCGGTGCCCTGTGACCCCCGGCTGAGTACGGTGTCACGCTCACCCAGGCCTCGGAGACGCTGCTATCCCCGAGCCCCGAGCGGCGCTGCGGTGTGCTCGCTCGACCGAGTTCACTCACGCGCGCGCTCGGGGCTGGCGTTTTGTCTGCGCGCTGTGACGTGGCTGGCGTGGCAATGGCTGTTGTGTCGCGTACAACGGGGCGTTGACTCAGTACGCACATGAGAAACCGACTGAGCGGCCTTCAGACTGTGACCGCCCGCACCTCCCGCGGCGTCACGGGGTGAGGAATGTGATCGCCATCCTCTGGAGGAGGGCACTCCGGCTCGGGGGCGCATCCCCCGACCACGCAGCCGGTCGCTTCTCACGCGTATCCAGCTGCTCGCGCTCTATCGCACGTTTCATCAGGTCACGCAGCTACGCACAACCTCCCGCGAGCGCGTCATTGACGGGTAGGAATCCGAACGATGTATGAAGCGAAACCGGGTGATAAAACGATGGGGGCCACCACGACGCTGCCTGCTATCTGATCACGTTCACGTCTTCGCTCATCGCGCGATAAGGTCTCCCATCCTTCCGTCCAGCTGCCCCGTAACCTGTCTTTGGATGGAGGCTGTCTGGTCGGATATCTGCTCAGGGCTAGTCTTTGTCCTCCGCGTGACCGGGCTGGTGCTCGTCGCGCTCCGCCCCGACGACAAATGCGGCGCGCGCGTCGCACCGCGCTCTTGCGACAGATGCGGCCCGTTCCGCTTCGACCCGCCGCGGCGGCTGGGGAAGTCAGAGAATCGTACCATTCCCTGTGTGTGAGGCAGTGGAAAAACTACCATGACGTTACACGCGTCCAATCCCCAAAGCTCACATCTCCTAGGAAAGCGTTGGAACTCGTATCTCAGCCCGGAATGATACTGTTTGCCTCGCATGTAAAGAATACACACACCGTTGGAACTCGTAGCTCAGTCCGGAATGATACTGTTTGCTTCGCATGTAAAGAATACACACACCGTTGGACCTCGTAGCTCAGCCCGAAATGATACTGTTTGCTTTGCATGTAAAGAATATACACACTGTTGGAACTCGTAGCTCAGCCCGAAATGATACTATTTGCTTCGCATGTAAAGAATACACACACCGTTGGAACTCGTAGCGTAGCCCGAAATGATACTGTTTGCTTCGTATGTAAAGAATACATACACCTGCTATGATTTGCACGAATTCCTGTCGACAAAGATATTGTGCGTCTCCTGCAGGTTTGGGAACAATTATTACAATGTGAGCATGGAATCTGAACGGAATAGCTACGAGTAACCCTGGGGCCAGTTCCAAACTCAGTCATCAACCAGCCGTGCACCCTTGTAATCTCCACAATGTGGCTATTCCGGCTATGCGTCAGGTTTCACAGGCGTACTCACACACATGCACACTGGCAAATGCGCACGCACACGGAGCAAGACTATCGGATGAACGGATCATGGCCTTGACTATCTATCCCACTGGCGTTTTCATGTGCGACACGGATGGACACTGCATCGCGGTACAGCACACGCTCTTTTAGAGATAGTAGTGAAATAATAATTATAAATCATTCTTAAACAAGCGCTTAGGACCAGTAGTTGGTTGCAATGCCACCCAAACGCGTCCTGACATCGTGCAAAGAATGGTACTGGTAATATTTTAATTTTGGCTATTAGACCTGGTTACACTTATTGGACCACCACTAACACGTTCAGGCACTGGTGGCATTGTGGCAATTCGAGAATATTTGTTATCAGCTGTCTCGGTTTACTCGTGTCTCGTGTTACTCGCCAGTAGCTTTTAGAATTAAGGCTTTTGCCATAACCGCACAAATAATTTAGGTACATTTCTGCCAAAAATGATTTGCATAGCAACAGATATGGCCGGCCGGGCGGCCTCTAACCGAAGAAAGACCGGACTTTGCCACACTGAATCGTCTCGGCCGTGACTGAGCTTTTTTATGGGGGCGAATATCAGCGCACAAAGTCACGGCTGACGTGATTGTGGCAAATTCGTCACAATCTAGATGGTTTGGTGTCTCTCGCTTTGACCGGCGTGAGATATTACAGGGGCTGGTATACGTGCCACCAGCATGTGCACTACCGGTATGTGGACCAAGTGTGCGCAATGCTATGCAATTCCGGGACAACGTTTGCTAAAGATGGTTATTTTGTGAAACGTCAGGAACACCTATGTAAGCTAAATATACGTTTTAGATGTCTTGTAATGACTTGATAACTTCAGATGGCTTGATAGTGGTGACCCCGAGTTCAAGACGCCAACATGGGAACATACGAGGATAGCTTCTCAAATTTGAATATTGCGCATTTTAGGTCCGCTTTTGGACAACGGACTTCGCATTTCAATTTTCTCAAGTATATCTAGTGACACGTGTCTCCAGTTGAATCTCGATCTTGTAAGTGGGAACGTCATTTTGTTATTTCGATGAAAATACCAACAATTAATTTCCCTTCAGTAACATCGTAGCGTGAAGTGTGCGACAGTTGCGTGTTATGGTGGGTCGACGCAACAGCCCGCTACGCACCGTCGACCTGACCCTTAAGAAGGCTAAACCTAGCTTTCCTCCCGGGCGAGTCGACCGCCGCAGTGTAACCAGTTTGTGGTACAACTGTCGGTTATTTCCGCACTCCTGAGCCTTCTGCTCGTCCGACCCTGCACTCTGCTGGCCGTCTCCCTGTCCTCCTCACCGCATCCCTCTGACCCCGGGCTTGTCATCCCCTGCCCGTCCCCGTGCTCCTCACCACAGCTCGGATGCGCCCCGGGTAGTCCCGGTGCCGCGCGGCGCCGACCGCCGCTGCTGGCCCATCCACACGGCGTCACTTCCCTGCCGCACCTGGCAGGCCTTTCACTCTCGTTCGACCGCGGCGACCCCCCATCTCCGGCGTCTGCACCTCTCTCGGAATCCCAAGAGGGTCGACTCCGGTGCCGCTCGCGGTGCGACCCGTGACCCCGCGCCGCCCGCGAGCTGTGCGGACGCCAGCAGTCGGACGCCAGAGGTCGTGTTGTGTTGGTCACTGGGGACGTGTGACCCTATGACCAACACAACACAACACAATACACGTGTGACATGATATCAGCGGATCCCAAGATTGCAGCCTGTGTATAGATGTACGGTTATGATCGACCAATCGAGTGGTGCCATGTGGTAGAGACGCTTGCGTGTTCGTTTCCGGGCAGCGTGGTCTGCGTGGTCGTTTCCGGGCAGCGTGGTCTACGTGGTCGTTTCCGGGCAGCGTGGTCTGCGTGGTCGTTTCCGGGCAGCGTGGTCTGCGTGGTCGTTTCCGGGCAGGTTTTCGTGGTCTCATTGCCCGGCTCATGGGGTGGAACGGCATCTTCGTTTGGGAAATCATATCGTATTCAGCCATTGGTGGTATGGTCTGAATCCGAGAGGAGACGTGAGATCTATTCGTCTTCGTTACACAGTCCGAAATATGCCGTCTCATGATCCAGTGGTGCGGCGCGCATCGCTGTCTGCACATCCCCGTCTGCTCGGTGCACATCCCCGTCTGCTCGGTGCACATCCCCGTCTGCTCGGTGCACATCGCCGTCTGCTCGGCGCACATCGCCGTCTGCTCGGTGCACATCCCCGTCTGCTCGGTGCACATCGCCGTCTGCTCGGTGCACATCCCCGTCTGCTCGGTGCACATCCCCGTCTGCTCGGTGCACATCCCCGTCTGCTCGGTACACATCGCCGTCTGCTCGGTGCACATCCCCGTCTGCTCGGTACACATCCCCGTCTGCTCGGTGCACATCGCCGTCTGCTCGGTGCACATCCCCGTCTGCTCGGTGCACATCCCCGTCTGCTCGGCGCACGTCGCCGTCTGCTCGGTGCACATCCCCGTCCGCTCGGCGCGGATTTCCGGCTGTGGATTTGCTCCTCGCATTCGCTGTGCGCTGCCGCCGGTCCGGGGAGGCACGCTCCAAAACCTCCCGGCGATCACCTCTCACACAGCACACACAAAAAACATCGGAGCAGCGCACCGACACGGACACTGCCGCGGCCTTCACAGCCGTGAACCGATCGGTCACGAGCGGCACCCGGTCGCTGCCGGCGCGGCACGCCTCGATGAGCGACCGTCGAGAAGACGTGACAGCGCTGCCTGTATTACTCAATGATCGCAGTTGTAGCAGGTTGGGTGTACAAATCAAGATTTGTCCATTTGTAGCTTGGCATTGTGCCCAGCTTATCGCGTGGGACTGAGGTAGATGTCATGCCTTAACTCTCGCCTTGCGGGAGCTTTTTCCCCTTTGCCTTACGAGTGAAGCCTCAGAGATAACAGGAGACCTATGGGGCTCTGATCTTAGGGCCAAGACAGGGAACAATGAGCGAGCTAAAGCCACCGGAGAATGGCTATGGAAAGCTCTCGGTAAATTGTAGAAGATAGGTGTGCCTTAGCAATGGTGAATACGACCTTAAACGGGCAAAATTAGGTCATGTAAATTGGTCCTTTGTGAAGCTCTTCCGCTATATCGGGCATTAAGCATGCCACGACATTCGAGAAGACGGTGTCTAATGATTGAAAAATATATCAGACCGTCACTTGAGGAAAGCGACACTTGTGATCTATGCCATGTCATGTCAGGTCAGTGGGATGAAGACTTTTATAGTATTAACCTGTAACGTGGTATGAAGAACTAAGCATACCATACCAAATGAGAAGAAGGCTAAGAAGGGCCTTGCAACATTGTAAGATATGTACATACTATTATGGTTTGAATCAAATCCATGACATTCCGGGCTCCTATCTAGTCAAGCAGTTCAAAGTTGAACCCAGCTTTGATGGCCCTACCCTACTTAGTGTGCCAGGATGATGGAAATGTTGTTCAGAGTGGTGCCACGGCGGTGCTGTGGGTCCACGACTGACACAGCCGCTGTTGATGTGCGTCCGCAGCGGCAGCGGGTGCGCAGTCTGCCGGTCAGCGATGAGTACGACTCACCCGACTCGGACTCGGACTCGGTGGGCGTGCTGGGTCAGGGCAGGTCAGCGTCCCTGCGCAGGGCCCACCGCCACCACGCGAGAGGTCAGTGGACGCGGCGACGCTGAGGGCTCTCCGCGCTTGCTTTGTGCCGTTGTGAAATGCCGCCACGTGGTCTGGTCCGGTCCTTCTAGAGCCGTTACGGCCATTGCTATGGACGGCTCTACCGGTACTGGTATAGAAACACGGCGGTCCCTCTCCCAAGGGACCAGTCAGCGCCTTTTGTCGGCGTGTGTTGCAGCAGCCGGCATTTTATTGCACATGCCATGCAGCTGCAGGTGACATCTGTCATGCGTGCAACGATGGCAACCGCAACGCATTACGGCACTGAAACGACGCTTGTGCATGTATGTCAGTGGCGCAATGTTAAGCGCTGAAATGTTCACGCTGTCACGCCCAGACACCATTGTTATCGGCTCATATTTGCCTGTTGGTCAAGTTCGGAGAGGTTGATGCTGGTGCAGATGTATTGCAGTAAGACTGAGAGAAGTGCTACGGTATAGCAAGAAAGGCCCTCCCGAAGGAGCCAATCGCTGTCCATGTGCCGTCTTACTTGCGTAGTATGAGATGAATGTGTCGTGATAAAGCGCCTCTTCTCCACAAGTCATGTTTCCATGTCAGTTGGTTATTGGATCTGCCCGCGTCGCTACTCGGGAGCCCTCGCAGTGGTCTATTCTGGGTAATCTCGACAGCCACCTTTTCTGGTTGACTGGGCAGAGTGCATGGTGGTGGTGCCGATATTCAGGAGTCATGTTTTTTTAATTACATAGGCATGTGGTCCATAAACATGAAAATATATTTTATCCGTTAAGTCATAGCTGATGCTAGTAACTCTTGAGCGTGCTGACCAGCGACCGCAGCTTCAAAGAATTCAGTTCAAAAACGGTGCGTCGTTTTTTTTCGACCTAGGTACTCAGAAACGTCGTATTGCATGCATTAGTGGTATATTTCTTATATGGTCAGCCCTTGGCATCATTCACTTTCTTTTATGTTCTAAGATCATGATCCGAGTGAGCAGCTTTTGGGGGGGGGGGGGAGGAGTGGGAAGCTTTGATAAATGGAGACGCACCTAACTGTTGTCTGTTCAAGGCCTGATCCCACGCTCGATTGGGTGAAGTATTTCTCATTTTGAGCTAGTTAGCAAGATACTTTGTATTTGACATAAGCGTAGCATGTTTATACAAACCTAAGCGAACATCACTAAACCAAGTCTTGGCTTAACTTCTTCTTACGCCGGCTCATTCGCCTTGCCATCTCCAACTATCATGTCGTGTAGTGCGTTTGCTCATTCGGTGCCGGACTGGTCCATCAGCTTTCCGTTTTACATCGCTATATACGTCTCGGACCAGTCGATCTTATCTTCGGCTGTGCTCAGCGACGCTCTCCGGGTCGGCGGCGACACGATGGCGGGACTAGTCACGTGGCGTGGCGTGACACACAGCCGCGTGGTCGGCGTGACACGGGTCTGTCTCGTTACTCGAATTGCTACAGGGCGGGCGCCTTTTTCGTGCCCCGGTTGGGGCACGAAACATAGGGAACGTTTATGTATGTGTGTGTTTAGAAGAGAAGTGTCATGGGGAAAGGGATTGGTCGGAGGACCGGGAGCTGTCACGAGCAAATGTTGGTCTCTAACAGCCGGCGCCATGAGTGGGAGTCTGTTTCGCGGCTTGGCCGTGTGGCGCGAGGGACCGTCCATGACCGTGCGTTGGGTGTGGCAGCTTTCGGCCGCCCTACCGTGGCAGTAGACGTGCCGACCACTGGCTGTTCGCGTCCAGCCTGCCGACTGAAGCTGACACAGGCACTGGCGCTCAACTGTCAGGCGCCTTATAGGTCAGGTAGTGGGACTTGCCAACTTTTGACGCGGACAATGTGGGTCCGGCCGGGGTGACCTTGCTGGGTAGCTGAGCGGCATGAGCAGTGAGGTTTCTGCGCGGACATGGTGGGTGTGATGTGGGCCGAGGGAGGCTCAGTGTGGAAAGGAGGGTCCTTCTGTGGACGACTGATGTGGTCGGCGTGGGTGTGCAAGGTCCTGTCGTAGGAGCAGCGGCCGTGGCCGACCGACCCCCCCCCCCCCCCCTAGTTTACGGTGACCATTCACTGGCACGGACGCCAGGACCATGGCACTTTCGCCCCGTGAGAGGTCGGCGCTATCTATTCCGGTGCTGAGATCACTCCCTAGGCGCGCCTGTGGTAGAATGTCCTGGGCCTTATTCGGCCGTACCGGGTGGCCGGATGTACCACCGGCTACGGCCGAGCAGGATAGACATCTGACTCAGTGAAGGTGAATCTTCTCGTGATAAACGACATGTGCTCACAAACGTTGCTCAACGTCGGCGGTCGCCCTGGTAGATCAAGTGTATGGATAGAAAGTAGAAAGGAATCGACGCATGCATGCGAGCGCAGACATGTTAGCACGTGTAAGCTGGTAATTTAGCGGCAGGTGTCGCTGAAGACGCCCCTGGAGACGCTCTGTCACTGGATGACTGATGGCGGCCTCTGCTGAGGAAGGCCTGTCACTTACAGGCTCCGCTATATATTCATTGTCCTTAAGCTTTTACTGTAATGTCGCCATGCTGTCGGAAAGCAGAGATAATGGAGGCTAAAAGCATCCCAAGAAGCGGTCGGAACCAAAATAGTTTGTTTAGGTAAATCCGTCCCGTGGATCACCGGGGGGGGGGGGGGGGGGAGCGGAATTCGGTCATCATGTCCTTTCACTTGATGTTAGGACCAAGGATCGTTTCTCTCTCTTCCTGCATATACGACTGGAGACATGTGTAATGCCTTGGGAGAAATGTTATAGAGAGAGAGAGAGAGAGAGAGAGAGAGAGAGAGAGAGAGAGAGAGAGAGAGAGAGAGAGAGAGAGAGAGAGAGAGAGAGAGAGAGAGAGAGAGAGAGAGACGAGATATATATATATATATATATATATATATATATATATATATATATATATATATATATACATATGACGTCCCACGTGCACGCGACCCAAGGTCAGGCCACGGGCGACTCTCGGCTGGCCGTGCTGCCCGCTCTGGTACGTCTCGGTGACGGGAACGATGTGAGCAGCTGGGTAGTGTCTGCGTCGCCGCTAGACCGCGCTGGCTGACGAGTGTGGCTGCGGCTCTCCTAGTGTCGCACATATGACTCTTCTGTACTTTGTCGGCTTATATGTGTTGTTTGTTTTATCCGAGGAGCGTCCCGCCTGTTTTACATGCGTAGTGTCCGTCCTGACTCTGGTTATGTACCTGTTTCCCGCTCACCTGAACCATGTCCACCCGCTGGTACTAACGATGCTTGAGGAAGCGCAGGTACTACACATTACACACACTACTCGCTATTTGCCCTGCTGACCCACATGGCGCTTCCTTTCTAACCCACACACCGCTCCGCTGCTTCTAACCCACACCCCGCCCCGCTGCTAAACTCATCGTCGTCTCGCTGCCGATCTACACGCCGCTGCCGTGCTAACGTGATCGGCAGCCGTGATCGCCGCTGTCGTGCTGACGTGATCGCCGCTGCCGTGCTTACGTGATCGCCGCTGCCGTGCTGACGTGATCGCTGCCGTGCTGACGTGATCGCCGCTGCCGTGCTTACGTGATCGCCGCTGCCGTGCTGACGTGATCGCCGCTGCCGTGCCGACGTGATCGCCGCTGCCGTGCTGACGTGATCGCCGCTGCCGTGCTGACGTGATCGCCGCTGCCGGGCTGACGTGTCGCCGCTGCCGTGCTGACGTGATCGCCGCTGCCGTGCTGACGTGATCGCCGCTGCCGTGCCGACGTGATCGCCGCTGCCGTGCTGACGTGATCGCCGCTGCCGTGCTGACGCGATCGCCGCTGCCGTGCTGACGTGATCGCCGCTGCCGTGCTGACGTGATCGCCGCTGCCGTGCCGACGTGATCGCCGCTGCCGTGCTGACGTGATCGCCGCTGCCGTGCTGACGCGATCGCCGCTGCCGTGCTGACGTGATCGCCGCTGCCGTGCCGACGTGATCGCCGCTGCCGTGCTGACGTGATCGCCGCTGCCGTGCTGACGTGATCGCCGCTGCCGTGCTGACGTGATCGCCGCTGCCGTGCTGACGTGTCGCCGCTGCCGTGCCGACGTGATCGCCGCTGCCGTGCTGACGTGATCGCCGCTGCCGTGCTGACGCGATCGCCGCTGCCGTGCTGACGTGATCGCCGCTGCCGTGTGGCGTGATCGCCGCTGCCGTGCCGACGTGATCGCCGCTGCCGTGCTGACGTGATCGCCGCTGCCGTGCTGACGTGATCGCCGCTGCCGTGCTGATGTGATCGCCGCTGCCGTGCTGACGTGTTCGCCGCTCGCCGACAGATCAGCGGTCGTACGCCGAGTCCTCCAGCTCCTCCTGCCAGGCGTCACCTGACCTCAGGTCGAGATCGCTCTCGTCGAAGCGTGCCCGGCGGAAGAGGTGGGTAAGGAGCAGCGGGCGACCCCGGAGTCTGCTCCCACAGCCGCCGCTCCCTTCCGCCACTCGTCAGACGTCCCATGAGAGCGGCACCACCCCGCTCCGGCGCGCCGGCGGCCCGCCGCGGCCGTCAGAACTGGAGCGCGACCCCTGTGTGCCAATATAATTGTGGGTTATTATCGCCGGCGGCCGCGGTCGCGCGACGCGCGTGACACTGGCTACTCCACGGCCGTCGACTTGGGTTCTGATCAATAGATATGGGCTTGATCGCGCTTGGGCGGAATCGATGTCGAGTCCGAATAAAGGAAAATAAAGCTAAATCTGAATATGGCTCAACGGGGCTGTTGAGAATTAGACTTAAATCCTAGCTGACTCCAGCACATAATGGATGAATCTGATTTATAATTTGATTACGAATAGGTAACTCAAGTTTTTGGTGCTCAAAATGTTACAGCCATTAAAAATGCGGGTGCATGCTTCAATCTGCTTATGCACGTACGCACGCAGACACGCCCGCACGCATGTGCATGTGTGTCATCTACTAGTTACTCTGCAACGGGTATCCGAGCCTGTCAGCCGACCGCAGTTGACGAACAATGCTGTAGCGTGATTCTATGATTTGTATAACAAAATAGGACCCTAATTTGGTTTGCCGGTGTTGGGCAAGAATGGTCGCGGCACATGAGTGATAATGTGTCAAGATGACCATATTACATGGACAAGCCCGGGTTAATAGGACAAATCAATCTGCCCCTCAAACAATGAAGTTCTTTGGCCATTTGCACCTCCGCTGTTACAACCTCGCTCTGCCGGTCCCCACCAACGGCATTTTATTTAACATTTCGTTCACATCACATTCTAAGTGGGTAGTTAACCCCTTGCAGGATCAGGTCACCATTGCAAGCGCCCTGAGGCCAATGCAAGCTGGATTCGGGAGTGGGGCACAAGTTTGCCGATCAGTCGGCGCCGCAGCGCCGTCGCGCTGCGCGGGGCGACGGGCGGGTACGGCGGGCGGTGGAGAGGCCGCTCCTCTGTGGTCATGGTCGCCGACGCGCTGTGAATTCACGAGTGATAGCCTCCGCCTCTGGCACGTGGCACTTCACGGAGGAGCCTCCGACATGAAGAGTCACCGGCTTGAGTACACCTGTCACGTCCCCGAAATGACGCACCGAATGGATGTTTGTCTTAGCTTGGGCGCCATGTGCCTGCCTCCGGGCGGTTTCACCCCGCCTTTTTTGTGTCGGGATGGTAAACACTTCTCCGACAACTTGGCCTTCTGTGAAAGGCGTATGGCGCTTGTTGTGTTTCGTAGTGCCGGACACGCCGCAAGACCTTAACATCCCTCTAGGTTGTGGAATCCGGCCTAACCTGGCAAATGTATTCACCGCCTGCGAATGTTCGGCACGCTCGCCACTCGCCCACTTGGAAATCGTCATTTTGACAAATTATCATTTCATGCGCTATCACTTTGCCTTGCATCAGTTCAAAAACCGCAACAACACTGATCGAAACATGCTGGGCTCGAGGCGTTATTGAATGACTGGTATGAGTGACCACTATAGAGCTGACACAACACGTGCGCTCATTCATCGTCCACCGCCAGCGGCGCTCGTCGCCATCACTTCAGCTTTCAGCGTGTGTGTGATGGGGCCGGGAGAGGCGAATTAGCGGGAGGCCACGGCGGTGCTAAAATAGTCACTCGACCGCCGCCGTCCTGCAATATCTCGCCGCTGGCCGGCGCGCCGAACAAAGGTCGTCTGTGTTGCGCCAGCGCCGCGAGCGAGATGGGTTGTGTCGAGTCACCGCCGCATCGGTGCCCTGCGGGCCGCCGCTCTCGTCAGCCGGACGGTCGGCTGCGGGCCGCCGCTCTCGTCAGCCGGACGGTCGGCTGCGGGCCGCCGCTCTCGTCAGCCGGACGGTCGGCTGCTGGCCGCCGCTCTCGTCAGCCGGACGGTCGGCTGTTGGCCGCCGCTCTCGTCAGCCGGATGGTCGGCTGCGGGCCGCCGCTCTCGTCAGTCGGACGGTCGGCTGCGGGCCGCCGCTCTCGTCGGCCGGGCGGCCGGCTGCGGGCGGCCACTCTTGTCGGCTGCTCACTGTTGTGGGTGTGCGCTGTTGACCGTCACAGCTGGAGGCAGGCCCGGCCAGGTGGCCGGCACCGGGTCTGTCGGGCTGTTGAACGGCTGCCCTTTGGCTGACATGGCGAGAATAAACTGGGGAAGTCAAGCCATTATTTCCTGGGAGCGCTCTCGTTGGGGGCGGCGTAAGGGAGAAGTCATAACAAGCCTGATGGCCTCTTTGACAGAAATGCCCGACTCTTGGGAGGTGTTAAACGCCTTGAGTTTGTTAGATCATACGTCACTTCACTTAATTTGATGGTGCGAAGGACCGTACTCTATCGTAATTCCCAGAATGCGTGGTTTTCTGTGTTGGACGGGGCACATCTGTAGACCGTCGCTCACTCTCCTTGCGAAGTGATGGCGCTTCCGTTCCGATGTCGGTGGCATTACAATGCCGCGCGAATAGATACGCTGTTTGCCGCTTGTGTACCAGCCCACGGTCTGAAGAACTGCACCGTCACGATCTAGACGTATTTCATGTCAAGAGTCTCCCCTCCGAAAAAGACCTCTCGTTTCGAGGTCGGTGTATTCCCCGACCCCGAAGATTTCAGGGCCGTCCTCGCGTAGGAGGACGCCTACACAGACCAGGAGTGGAGGTTGTCCTCTCCTCTCTCACTAAACAGATGGGCTCTCTCATAGTAAAAATGAATACTTTAAAGTTTGAAGACCCTTGCCACGGGTCTCTCTCGCTGGTCTCCTTACCTGCTGCATGCTCCAGGAAGCATACGTCCGTGTCCAGAGAGGTTTAGTGGCTCCCAAATTGGTGCTATTCTGCATACTTTGGCCGTGTCGTATCTTTTCCATTAGTCGCTGTTCTGTGCCTCGTAGCCCCGCATAGAGGCTGAAATTGTATGGTCGTGGTGGATGGCCTTTTTTGCGTATTTAAAACATGCTAAAATGCGTTGGACGATCCATGGGTTAGATAGCTTTGTCACTACAGGGATCAAACTATATGGGGAAAGCAGCTATCACGGATGCTGGGTTCCCCGTAATATAGCCCCAAATTCCAAGAAATATCGAGCTGTTTTCATTTACTTAAGATGCTACACATTTGGTGTTGAAGTCGCGTTTTGATCTTCAGCTTTCTTAACGAGTTTCGCATAACTGCAACCCTCGCGGCGTATGTAATCACCCAATTTCACCACCCACGTTCCATCTTTTTGTTGGTGGAAACACTTTTTGTAGACGAGCAAAACATCTTCATGACACAGCACCTCTCTGAAGCAGCAGTTGTATTTGAGACAGCCAGTTACTTTGATTGTAGTTTCATAAAATGAATCCCAGCACGTGTGCGTGTGCAGTGTGCACAGCTGTGATGGCACACGCAACGTGCCTCGATCTTCGCGGCTTCAAGCGGTCCATTGAACCGCCACAACCTGACAGACGTTAACATGGCATGACGCAGTAGATATATAGCCAATATTGGTGCATGGTGACGTATTCCGCGACAGCTGTCAAAGCCAACTTATAAAGCGCAAATGAAATGCAGCCAAGAGTGTTAGGATTGCTGAAGTCACAAGAACTCGTCACATTTCATTAGTTAACTGCTGACGTAATCGCGCTAACAACTGTTATTGTTGTTTACCTCCCTCTTTGCCAGGACTACAGAGACGAACAAGAATGACTTGTGATTGGCGCGGTCCGTTGAAGCGTCTGGCAACCGATCTGTCGGCCTCTCAGTCTCAGGTGGCTTGGCTAACTCTGTCTGACACCAGGCGGCTATCAATTTCGCACAGCGGCAGTAGCCATGACATGACGGTGGCACTCGTCCTTTTTACACGGGCGTCGGGTTTTTATGATCGAATTTTTGTCATCCTCTCGTCCACGGAGCGGTGTGCGGTGCGTGCAAATGATGGGATGTTTGAAGCCGCTACCAGACCTTAGGGAATGTGCCACCATTTTCGAAGTCCAGTATTTCCGCGCGACGCTATCAATCTTATGATCAGACTGGGAGCAATTGAGACGTCTGTTGCGATCATCTCTAGCTTTTACGAATATCATAAGAACACCATCCGTACGGCATCGCGAAAGCTTCTTAAGGTACACAAAACGATGCATATAATTTGTTGCCCTTAATCGCTCACGTTGAAACATCTATTTAAGAGTTAATCTGTTCGTGACGCGTAGTCCAGGTCTGCAAGGAGCAGTTGTGCCGGCTATTGCCCAAATGCCTGAGTAGGATGACCTAGATCAGCTAAGTGGACAGTTACCGTATCGGCGTATTACCCAGGTCGTTGTGATCTGACGCCCAGTGTCCTGACAGGCGGCGCACCAAGACGCCGGTGCTGATGCCTCCGGCGGCCGACCTGGCGTGTCGCGGCCGCACCGCCGCCGAGGTCGAGACGCTGCTGCTCCAGCAGCTGCAGATGCAGCAGGAGCTGACGGCGCGCAAGGCTGCCGACGCTGAGCTGGACCTGCGCGCGCTGGCGCACAAGCTGAAGGGCCGCGACTTCAGCATCAATGTGTGAGCGGCCATGGACCGTCGGCGCCGCGTCGGCCGCTCCTGACGACGGCGTCGTCGCCTCTTCCAGCCGCCCTTCGAGCGGGCTTCGGCGCCGCGTCGGCCGCTCCTGACGACGGCGTCGTCGCCTCTTCCAGCCGCCCTTCGAACGGGCTGGTGTGTGGACCAACGCCTCGCTCAGAGCGACCGGGCTTTGTGGAGGTGGACGGGTGAACGGTGGGAGGCGGCCGCTGGCCCGTCTCCGTCTGCGCCACTGAGCAGCAACATGGATAGGCAGTCACGAATGACGTAGTCGTTAACTCGGTGACGCGTTCACAATCTCATTCGTGTAGACGCCGCGCCAAAAATGTGTTGCGAAAAGTGAAAATGTGAGATGGTCATTGCGTAGATCGCCTCAAGTTCGGAAGATAATGCTGTATGGCTCAAGCATATATGACTGTTGCCATGTACTAGCGTTAAACTTGTTAGATGTCCTGAGTCTCAGAGAGAGAACTCTCTGGCAGCACGAAGGCTTTGTGCGAGCTGGCCTCCTGTTCGTTGTAACTGTCGACGTTTTTACTCGTCCGCTGCTGCCAAACTGTAGTTGTTTTCATTTATTACAAAAACCTTTGTACAGGAATAATTAATACATAAATACACGTACGAGTATCTCATGTGGGCAATCAGCTGTTCTTTACCTTGGGTCGACTAAACGATAATAGATCACACATCCATAGCGAGAGCTACAGCGGTTTCGAACTGCGTCGACCGCGAGCGGCTAAATGATGGCGTCAAGCTGGCACTGGACACTCGCACACGACACGAGGAGCGACGGGGGACTGGTCCGACCAGCGGAACACTTCTCCCCACATTCCGGTCAACAACAACAATATCACAGCATGGGAATTCGCGGGCCTTAACCTAATGACTTAGTCTAGGTGGACTGAGTTGATGCGAGATGTGCGACTGCTCTGGTGTCTAGTAGTTGCCGCGCGGCTGCTGGGGGTAGCCCTGCTGCGGCTGCGGCTGCGGCTGCGCCTGCTGCTGCTGCTGGGCGCATTTGGTGACGGTCTGCACGTTTTGCTGGGTGCGCGTGACATCGACGGTCTGCCGGTTGGTGGAGGTGACGGTGTTGGTGATGTATTGCACCTGGGGCTGGTTGTTGGTCTCCGTCTGCACCACATCGTACGAGTTGGTGGCGTACTGGGTCTGGTACTGCGTCTGGTATTCGGTTGTCACCGACGTCTGGATCTGGAAAGCGGGCAGACCGGTGTCAGCGGGCAAGGAATTCATCGCGTGGCTAACCGAAAACCCAATCCACTCGCATCATGCACTGCTAATGGTGCCATCATAGCACTGACAGCACACGTAGTAATGGCACTTCACAGCACATCGTGACAATGAATATCGTGACTCTGAAGCTCTAGAGATAGCAGATAAACCTATAAAAGGGCACGCTCTCGGCTGTTTGCCCAAATTGTTGGCAAACGGACGGCCACACCGAGCGTTCTGGAGCCCCTGCCAGGTGCAGCAGCGGTACAGACCTGTGGCACGCGCTGCACGCTCGTGACGGTGACGGTGACAGCGTACTGCTGAGCCTGCGTCTGCGTGAACGTGTCCGTCTCGGTGACGGTCTCATGCTCGTCCTCGGTGAAGATGAGCGTCGAGGTAACGGTCTCGATCTGCGGCACCTCGATCGTGTTGGTGCGGTACGCGATCTTGGTCTCCTCCTGATACTCGGAGCCGCCGGCGCGCGTCGTCGTCTCCAGCTGCACCACCGTCTGCGGGTAATACTCGGTCTCCGTCACGTACTTGTAGAGCGTGGTCGGCAGGAACTCGGTGCGCGTGTCGTACACGGTCACCGGGATGACGGCCTTGGTCCAGGTCAGGATGTACTTGGTCTCGTCGCGGCATTTGCCGCCCCGCAGACCCCCGCCAACGGCGCCGCCGCCGCCGCCGCCCACGCCCACACCGTTGAAGGAGGTGTCGAGGGCGGGGGCGGCGCCGAAGCCGCCAGCCGCGGCGCCGAAGCCTCCAGCCGCGGCGCCGAAGCCGCCCGCCGCGGCGGCCGGCGCGCCGTAGCTCTGGCCGACCTGCCGTTTCTCCACCTGTTTGGTGGAGGCCGCTGCCACCAGGCACACCAGAGCAATGTGTCGCAGCATCTGAAACGGAGACGCCCGGTAAGTTGTCAGTCGGGGGGAGTGCCGTCGCTCTGCCGGACTCGCCGTCTGCCAATTCGCGACGCTTGTTGATGTGCGCGCTTTTCTCTCGCCGTTAGGGTTACCGAGTCGACCGCGGGCTCGTGAGAACGCCGGTGAGAAAACGGCCGTTTTGGGGTTTGCGGTGGGTGCCCGTCAGTTAGCCGTCAGCTGGCTGCCGACGACCTTGTCGCTCCGTCGCCCAGCTGTCTGTGACGTCACTGCGGGCTACGGGGCGTTGTTTCACGGCCGGCGGCGGCTGCGCCATTTATGCCGACATCGCTGGTCGGGGCGATTTCGGTAGTACACGTCGCTGCGCAGGTTTCGTGCGTGCCGGGGGTTTGACGCCAACTCCGCTTGTTGGCTGTGGTGGATGGTGGTGACTGTGGTTCTCAACATTGGCGGCGCTGCAGCAGGCTACGATAATTGATGGTCACTTAAACTATCTCATCGTGTGATCGCAGACTACGAGCATGCTAGAGCTAACCCGCTGCACTATCAGGGTGGGATTCGTCCCTTACACGTGGAATGCTGCATTCGGCTTCAAGACTATTGCGTTGTAAGGAACTGGGGTTCTTTTAGGGCCTATCGAATCACAGAAGCGATGAAACAACGCAGCGCGAAGGTACCAATGGTGAGCCGCCCCGAGTCTAGGCTGTCGCGACTCGACCACTCATCAGCCAGCTGAGCTGCAAAAGTGACGAATCACGTCTGTCGTTTTGAAATGTTCCCATCAACTCGAAGTTGCTTCACTCTCGGTCTCACTTTCTGTGAACCATGCGAAAGAACTGAAGCAAGCCCTGGTCTAGACTCATAGCATTCCAAGCTCCGGTGATTTGTTATTTCGAGGCCAATTGCGCTCACTGTGATAGCTAGCCTGTCGGCCTGAGCGGTTGGGGGGGGGGGGGAGGGGATACCGGCGTAGGTGACTTGTGGTGGGAAGGGCTTTCCATGCATACAATATTATTCATGAGAGAGAGTTGGAAAGTGCATGTTCTAGCTAGTCTTATGAGCAACGATGATCGGAGTCTGTTTTGGAGGCGCAATGCTTTGTCGGATCCTTCATGATAAGCGGCTGAGCGACAAATGCATGAGCCGCATTCCAAATTATGCTAACAACCTAAAGAACCAGGAAGCAAGTAAGACGCCTTGATAGCACCACAGCACCTTCTCAAGCTGCAGTGAAGCGGGAAGAGACACCGGACCTCAGACCGTGCAGCGATATGCACAGCACGTGAGAGGAAAACTTGTGATGCAGCAGTCAAATCAACAGCAGCATTTGGGTTTGCTTGTAAACCTACGGACAGTCTCAGGTAACGGTGCCGACCAGCAACGAGATGTACCGTTACGTCCGTTGTTTGCTCGCTTTATGCCCTCGTAACAAATGGGTACGTACCATAGGACGCAGCATCCCAACCCTTACGCCCGAACGCCTTCTCCACTTTTGAACGCTGGGCTCTTCGCTCCCTTGCTACAGACTCGCCGAGTAAGCGAGTTGCACTTTGAGGTGAAAAAATCCCCGGTGAGGCCACTGCGGCAGTACGGTGCAGTTTTCGCCGGGGGCACCGTCAACAGGCCTCTTACCAGCGTGCGGGCCAGGCCCCGCGCGCTGTGTTGTGATGCGGTAGCCCGGGGCCCGGGGATGAACTCCAGAACCCGGTGATTGTGCCGGCACCTCACTTTCTCCTCCGTTTTGACGCCGCGCCAAGACCTCTGACGGGGACCGCCGGGGGGACGACTGCATGCTCAATGAATGCAAATCTGCCCAGTAATCCGCCGGTAGTTCTTCTGAGAGTTGTCAATAGCAGCATGACGGGTGGTGAAAAAGTGACTCGCGGTGGCCATGTGGCTGAACTTGCCCCTTGCAGTGCTGCAGAGGTTGCGTGACAAATAACACACCGTCACAAAAACGTGCGCTGGGTCTCCCTGGCGTGTGACGTGCGTTGACTCACGCGAGCGTCCCAGTATCTTCATCACCCAAACCCGCACATTACGCTAATTGAACGCATGAGCAAGCCACCTGGTGGCCATTTCCCGCACGGGCCGTCCTCGCCGCAGGGTCGCGTTGCAGGGTTGGACGACCCCGCGCCAGGCGACCACCTTTTGAACGAGAGCGGCGAAGCTCAGCGCGCAGACGCTGCGCATATTCGGCTCCCGCTATCAGCGCTGTCGGCCTCTAGCCGCCGCCAGTGACCGCGACTAGGACATGGTTTCACCGTCGTGCATGACTTCTCGTCCCGCATCTGAGATAACGCCTGACACCGGAGCGGCTTGCGGCGCGCCAACGCGTGCCCGAGTCGTGAGAAACGCGTTAAGTGTGGTGAATAGCGCAGATAGGCCGCCGGAGTGAAACCAACGCGCCGCTAAGCCCAGCGAGAGTGAAACCCGGCTCATGACGTGAATTACGGGGCACGGATGCCTTTCAAAACTGATGTGATTTGACTCGGGACTGAATGACGTGCCACTCAAATGAAACACGTACCTCTGCAACTTAATTCGGGATAAGAAATAAACGAACGATAAAAAGTGATTAAAGCATTTCTTGCCCATGCAATGCTTTCAGATCATTCAGTGTTTCCTAGGGATGCATGTTTTCTGTATTATGGAATATGTACGTGGTTCAAATAAAAATTTAACCTTCGATTGCTAGCGGAAATTACGGGATGTATGAAACGTACTATTATTTGAGCTAACAAAACGCTAGCTTGCTACACACGGTGCGGTCTTTTGAGGCTATTAATTCTACACAACAGCATCTAAAGATGTCCAGAACTGTGCTGAGTTCCAAAAAAAAATGTTTTAGTACCACCAAGAGGTGTTGGCGCGTGTACTATGTTGAGGCTAGGGGAGATGCTCCAAATCCGAGAAATCAAGCTAACGTGAACATGCATTTCTACTTTGGATTTAATTTTCGACCTTTTATTTTCATGCTTTGGGAAATTTGCTTTCTTTACACCGTACTGTATTTTTGGTGTTCAATTGTCTAAAACCTACGGGGGCTTAAACTCATAACGTTTTTCATAAAAGTATGATGAGTAAGTAAGTAGCAAAAAGGGTTGGTTCCTTCAATCCCCCCCCCATGGTCCCCACCACCTACCCCACTCCTCGCACCACTGATAAAAGTAAAAACAAAAGTTCTGAAACCAGGGGGGCATGAAATGCTTTCATCCGGCGCTCACATAGGGGTGCTGTAAAACTGTATCCAGTTTGGACAATTTGGCATTCCACCGGGCCGTTCCAGAGGTCTTGGCTAGCAGCTGTTGAGGCGTTAAAAATGCAGCAAAAGCTATGAAAATTCTGCTTAGAAGTGGAATACTGATGGGATAACACCCGAAAAGCAGCTTGTACATCGAGTTCCAAGGTTAGCAATGTGTGACGCAGGGTCCGACAGCGACCTCAGCAGGGTCCGACAGCGACCTCGCTAGCTGTCTGTTTCAGGTAATGCTGTCAATAGGCAAAATCAACGCTCTTTTAAAAGTGAGAACCAGGACGCAACTCATGGCGTTCGGACGCCGAGCTTGATGACGCCAGCCAGCATATGCCGAGCATCCCCTCGGGTCCGTCGGCTCGCCGCCGCCGTCCTCCCGCCGCTGGCACCGACACTGACACTGCTGACACGGAGCGGGACACGCCTGGTGTGCTCACCTTGCGTCGTTCAGTCCACCGCCGGATCAGCACTGATGCGGCGGTGGCGGCGCGCGGCGCCTTTATACGGCGGTGCGGCGGTGCGTGCGCCCTTTCCCGCGGCCTCCGCAGCCGCAGGCGAGCGCGCGGCCGGCGCGTCGGCGCGGCCAGGACGCGCCGCGTCCCCATCACGGGGTGCCGAAGTGCCAGACGAGGTCGCGTATGACGAGGTCTGGCGAGCCGGCGCAGTGCATGTCGGGTCAAAGCTGCAGTGCACGAGAGCCTTTTCTGTGTCGAGGGAAGACGTTAGGAGGTTTGATGGATTTGATCCCGAGCTTGCTGGTGATGTCAAACTGCGGGAGGTGATTGTAACACTTGCCCTGGCACGTGTCAGTTTTAAGACTTGCATTTAAACATCTGCCATTTCGGCCGGTTTTGCACCAACCAACCATTGACCTATCAAATGGCGCCATTAATACATCAATGCAATTTTGTATGGGCTTCTCCAGAGGTAACTGGTAATGTGTTAGTATACAGAGGTGAAGTGTGGTATGTGAAGTGCTTCGATTGTTGAAAGCTCACTTTTCTCTTATCGCTATCTGACTTGATCTTTATAGTCTTAATGATGGATCATTGAGGCTATAGTTTATTGGAATGTGTGAGAAGTCGAGACAAATTCATTTCATTCGTGTGCCATCTTCTTTTTGGCCAGCAGCTTAAATTTGCGTAGTAATAGCCCTGCAAAGTTTTGGTCGTAGCACTGACCTTATGGCAGGCTAAAATACGTAGTCACGCCCGCATTTTGGCAATGTTTTAAGACGTCTTATTCACGTGTCGGTATTGAGACAGCTTTGCAGTCCCGACTTTTGATGTAATTTTAACAGCCTTAATTCACACCATCGCATGCGACAGTGGGAGACGGGCACAAAGAAACCCAAGGCTTGAGAAAAATGAAACGAATTCAGCATTGAGCGGTCC